AATTGTACAGACGGAACCTTAATCTATACGATGACCTGAAAACCTTTATTTTAATCTTAGTAATTTAAGGCTTAGAATCTTTTGAGAATACAGCTTAAAGTAGAGGAAATAATAGTCAATACAAAACCTTGAAAATATTAAATCGTATCTGTATAGCTCTACAGCTATATAGCTCTATAGCTTGTATCTAACAAGAAGAAAACAAGCCAGACACCTGGAGACGTAAATAAAGAAGAAAAAATATATATATAACGCTTCTCTACAACTTCTCAAACTGGTTAGGAAGGTTCTCAGATAGATTTAGATTATGGATATGAGAAGATCAAATGAGTCATTTTAACCGGGTTCAATAATCCCCCCCCCCTACCCGCCACCTTTGTATTCCCCACCCCCTCCTGCACCACCTTTATATATCCCCCCCCTTATATTCCCCCGTATCCTCCTCCAAGTGGCCATTATCCATATTTGATTGGTTATACTCCCTCTGTGGGAAAACTGTAGGATATGTGGGAATATTCCTGGTTCCCTTCCTTTCCCGTCTCCGTCCTCAGGTTCGACTTGTATCTGAGAACTCAGGCTAATTATTCTCCGTCCAGAGGGAGATCCAACATTCCCCGTTCCCAAGAAGATTGTAAAAATGATAAGCTAGCCATATTTCAAAAACTATTATTTCTAATTTTCACTCCTAATTTCTGGAAAAGATTTGAGTTGTTTCGTTTACTTTTCTATAATCAATATCTAACAACAACTATATTATTTGTAACTAAGAATTACCTAGATGGATTTTTATGAAAAGTTGTCGACTTATTTTTGCACGACAAGCAACTAAAAAAGACAAAAGAAAAAAAACAAAGTAAAAAAATCAAGGTTTTTTATTTTTATTTTCATTCAACTGTTTGGACGGAAACATTTAATATAAAGTTATTTCCAAGAATATAATTTGATTTCTGATTTCCGGAGAAAAATGATTCTGAAATTGTTGAAAAGTTGCTAAATATTCAAAAATCTTTAAAAACCAAAACTCACCAAGATATTTTTATGTTTATTAATAGTGTAATAAAATCAAAAAAATCGATGAACTTTTTATCTGCTGCTATTGTTATTATTAATCCTATTTAATATTTTAAGGTTGATATTACACTGATTTTCATAATTATCTCAATTAAAAATCTCAATAAGACGACAAGTCGGTCTCGAAGGAATTGAGACTTTGCCAGAAACTTTGATTCTCTATTCCAAATATTTTTGAAATTTAATGTCGTATAACTTAGATATTTCAAACTATAAATTATGTTAAATCAATTAATAAAAGTTTGAAATATCAATGGTTTGCACCATCAGGCTGAAAATATATAGAGATGTGAAAATTTAGGTTTGTGGCAAATACATGTTTTGGTTGACACGGTGTATGTTTATATTTTGGGTGACACGGTGTATGTTTATATTTTGGTTGACACGGTGTATGTTTATATTTTGGTTGACATGGTGTATGTTTATATTTTGGTTGACATGGTGTATGTTTATATTTTGGTTGATATGGTGTATGTTTATATTTTGGTTGACATGGTGTATGTTTATATTTTGGTTGACATGGTGTATGTTTATATTTTGGTTGATATGGTGTATGTTTATATTTTGGTTGACACGGTGTATGTTTATATTTGGTTGACATGGTGCATGTTTATATTTTGGTTGACATGGTGCATGTTTATATTTTGGTTGACATGGTGCATGTTTATATTTTGGTTGACATGGTGCATGTTTATATTTCGGTTGATATGGTGTATTTTTATATTTTGGTTGACATGGTGTATGTTTATATTTTGGTTGACATGGTGTATGTTTATATTTTGGTTGACACGATGTATGTTTATATTTTGGTTGACGTGGTGTATGTTTATATTTTGGTTGATATGGTGTATGTTTATATTTTGGTTGACGTGGTGTATGTTTATATTTTGGTTGACGTGGTGTATGTTTATATTAATACAATTAATCTAAAATTACTCATTTTCCACTTCTCCCAAGATAAACACTAGATTCCTCACATTGTTTTCTTTTAGGGTTTAATCATTTTCAATCTACAATGCGTCATCAGGTTCAAGTATCCAGAATTAATTTATTATTTTTTCAATAAAATTGGGATTAAGAAAGGAACTGAACACTTTAGTTTTCTAGTCATCTTTGCAACCTTTTAAAACCATTTTATAAATCTAACCAATTTTAACAATACAGATAATTTCCAAGATTTTAAATGTAAAATATATTAGTTTTTACAAAATTTACCACAAATTTTAAGAAGAGTTTAAGCGTTTAAAATCTGAACTTTTTCTCGAGTGCACTCTGCCAAACCAGAGAAATAGTGCCTTCATATCAAATACTTTCCGTTGTTCATTAAATCTCACCACTTCATAAATTACTTATGAAAAAAAATATTTCTAACATTTGACACATAAAACGATTATGAAATTTTCCCCAAAACAATTAATGTTAGTTTTATATTCAACAAATAGGTTTAACTGAAGAAAGCCTGGTAGAGTTTACAGTTGAAATCAGTTTCCGTTAAACTATTATTAACCTGAGCGTCCCTATGCCAAAATGAACCCGGAGAAAGGACGCGGAGTATTCACAAGATTTGGGAAACCATTGAGACGGAGCAATCTTGTAAGACGAGAGTATTGAATATTAGACAGTTTTATTACACATGTCCAATTGTAAACTGAGAACTTAAATCATGGAATAGTAAGGAGAGGAGAAAAGTATATTTACAATCTCTGAATCAAGAATAAATCTAAATCTAAATCACAGAAAAATTTGACATTTTCCAGAGTTTTCAGCTAAATATTCAATTGTATTGAGAGAAAGAAGAAAATACCCCCCCCCCCTCTTTACATTTACTACTTTTCCCATCAGTTATATTTACATCTCTCTCCAGTAGTCCAAATACTCTATTTTTCTACTTTCAATCCTGTTTTCATTTTCAATCGGTTTTCTTATTTCCCGTTTCCTTCCTTTTCTCTTTCTTTCCCTGCTTCTCCCATTCACTCCATTACAAACTCACAAACACAAAGGAAACTTTCCTGAAAAAAACTTGATTGCCAGATAAGACCTATCTCCCATAATCCGCCATATACCAAAGTTCTTTCTACAGTAGTCTTTCTGAAGTTTATCATGATGCCCTGATAGTCCCATCTCATCCTAGCTCTTTTTCCTATCTTATCGTAGTCCTTTTTCCCCATCTCATTTAAGCCCTTTATTCCATTTCATTCTTATCCTTTCTTCTCCCATCTCGTCCTAGCCCTTTCTTTTCCCATCTCATCCTATTTCTCCTTTTCTCCCATGTGATCCTATTCATTCATTTTTCCCATCTCATCCTATTCCTTTCTTTTCCCATCTCATCCAAGTCCTTCCTTTCCCATCTTAATCCCTAACTCCTAATGATTAATCAATGTCTTCTCCCGTCCCCCTTCTTTCCCCACTTTATCTTAGCACCTCCTTTTCTACTAATGGTACCACCTCCTTTTCTACTAGTGGTACCACCTCCTTTTCTACTAGAATCCCTTTTCTCCTCCTTGCACCCTTTGTCCAATTTTATCACCTTAATTCCTCCTCATATCACATTCTTTACACCTTTTAGCCCCATTTTCTCTTAGAACCTCCTTTCCTTTTTGCACCTCCTTTCCTCCTCCTAGCGCCTTCTTTTTTCCTCTTAGCTCCTCCGTTACTCCTTCTAGCACCTTCTTTTTTCCTTTTAGCACCCTTTTCTCCTATTAGTACCTCATTTCTTCCTCCTAGCACCCTTTTTCTCCTCTTAGTACCTCCTTTCTTCCTCCTAGCACCCTTTTTCTCCTCTTAGTACCTCCTTTCTCCCTCCTAGCACCCTTTTTCTCCTCTTAGTACCTCCTTTCTCCCTCCTAGCACCCTTTTTTCTCCTACCTTCTCCTTCCTTAGACTTCTCCACTTCTATGCACACCGTCTGCATTTAACTAATTACAAACAGAAATACAAAAATCAGCTTTTATTACAATTGCAACTTAATGAATATTACGCATAAATGTTTTAATTTACAATGTAAAAACCCTAATGAAAATTTAAATGTAATATTTCAATATTTCTTTTTAATTTTTAATTATACCATTCGCGGGTAGACTGCAGAGTACAGTGTATAGTGTGTATACCCGAATACTAAAAAGCTTGCTTTATGTGCATATATAACAAGGTTTTTATTCAACCTCGGACAGGAACCGTTAAACGGATATTTAAGAATTCAAAGAATAGTGTTTATGCAGTTTGCTCCGCTAATTTCAGAGTAAGATTAACGTTATTGTTATTATATCTTTTCATCATGTTATATGTAGCTCTTCCATGTTAAAAGGTGAATATCAAAGTTTTTATTTATCAACCAACTGTTTCGCTAGAAGCGTAAACAAAGGGAATGATCTGATCCCCCCCCCCCTCCCCTAGCCCTGGATAAGTTAAAACTATGGTTTCTCTATTGAGCCCTCATCTGTTATAATAAAAAGGTGTCAGCCCCCTGAAAACATTCCGTTTATGCCCCTGCCTTTCAATAGAAAATATTAAAAGGCTCATAATAGGGGTGCACTGTTTAAAAAGACGAATACGGCAAGAATTTCTTAATGTTTTTGAGACTCAACTTTTAAATAATTTGTATTATCATTTACTTAGAAAGCCGACAAAACTTAAAATAAAAATGGATCTGTAAATACAGTTCTTTTCTTTGACAATCGAGGAATAGTAAAAACACTTATTTGAGTTACAAAAATGCCCTCCTCCTCCTCATTGATTAAGAATAAATGTATGAAATAACTTTGGTTTCTAAGTTTAGCGGAGAGAGGTTTGGTTAGCTGCCGCAATATCCTCCAATAGGAATCCTTGCTCCGGGGGGATCCTAACTAAACCCACGGTGCAGAGCAGTCAACCCGGTCCTAACTCAGATCGTAACGTATATCGTATTCAGTTCAGTCTACTTCCGACCCTACCCCAGACAGCATGCATATCCCGCAGTATACATCCTGTTGTGTTCAAAATAGAAAAAGAAGATTATCCTTCTCTTCTCACGAGAAGAATTTTGAAGATAGATCCGAGGATCGAACCCTGATATCTCCTGTAACTCCGCCCTGCTCAAGTTCTGAAATCTATCCTGATTCTCCTGCATCAGTTCTATCCTATACCGAGGACTCTGATTACGAAGAGGAACCTATGTCTAAGGTTCCAAGATATATCGGAACTATTTATGAGGAACGGCTTGCTCCCCTCAGTCCTGTCACTTCCCTCCCCGTTCCAGTTTATGTCGGAGCAGGACACGGAAACTCAAAGAACAATATACTTCAAGTTAAACTTTTAGAATTAATAAATCTTGGAGAGGAAACCGTTCTAGACGAATTCCTAGAGGAGAACGGGAAACATGTTGATATAAACCAATACAGTGAGGATGGAGTTACTCCTCTACAGTTAGTTTGTCAAGAGGGAAGAAAGGTTTCTATAGCCCGAGTTCTTGTCAAGTACGGAGCTGATCTTAAACTTACATCACGGGACGGATGGTCTCCAATTCATATGGCAACCTTTTCCGGAAACCTGCAGCTGATGAATTTCATCCGAAATTGTCCAAAATGAAGAAAATTACAATTTCCTTATAATTCATCTCCTGATTAGTCAGTTATTCAGTCTTGTCATTTATTTCACGATTATACATTCAGATCTTTAAATATATTATATATTCATATACATATTCATATCAACTTGTTATTTTCTGAATACGAGAGGAACCCAGTTCTAAATTAAATCATGTTAAATATTAAAATGTTAGACAGATACGAGATAAAAGAGTACGATTTAATATCCTTACAATTAAACTACGATATAAATTTTAATTTCAGCAATTCAAGGTTTAATTTCGATAGTATTTGAATTGATTTATCAAAACGATAGTTCTAGTTAAAGGATATTATGTATTAAATGTAAGGTTCACCTAAAAAAAATATCACAGAAGGAAAACTATGAGATTGAATTTACTCAAGAAAACCTGTTTTAACTGTCCTGAACTAACCCTAACCTAATCTAAGTTTAAAATCTAGAGAACTAAAAAGTGTAGCATAACCTAACATTTTTACTGAACGTTATTCTTTACTCAACTATACCAGGTGCTGGTTTTCTTAATTATTCAACGAAAATTTTTTTGAAAAAAAAACAAATGGTTTCAATTTAATTCAATGAAAATCTAAATTTTTTATTTCCTTTTATTTTAAATCCAAATTGCTCAGTTTTATTTAAGTTCGAAATAAAACGAGATTTACAAACCGGGTTTTATTCAACTATCAATTCGTTAATGAATGGGGTTCTTAAACTCTAAGTTATTCACGAGTGTTTTTAAAAGGGGGCTCTTGCAGAAGTAAATTCTTTAAAGGGGTGTAGTAGGTCACGTGGATTTAACGGTTCTGTCAATGTTTCAGAAAGCTGTGACTTTCGATCACCATTTGACCCCTTACACATAATTTTTTGACCTTTTTCTTTAAAATTTTTTTGTCGGTATATACGTTTTGAACGAAATAGTATTAAGTAAACAAATCTGTAAGTTTAAAGATTGTTGAATTATAGACCAAAACACGTTTGATTCCAAATAAAAGAAACCAAATGATTCTCACACTGGTTAGTTTGGGATGAGGTGTAGTCAATGTAATTCATAAAGGGATTATTAATATTGTCTTGGTCATCGTGCAATACAAATCCTCGAGATTTCTATCATGATCACATATTTAACAATTTTACCGAGTTTAACGATTTTAACGATTTTATGCGTAACTCCTAATTAAATGAGTGCCATTAACGATTTTAAATCTAGAGTTCTGTTTCAACCATTCTCTAAATTAAAATCTTCCAATTAATTCAAAGTGAACTTATCTTATTAATTTAGTTTATTCGCTCAATGAACACGAGGACTCCCTTGCAATATTTAAATCAAAAATGTTCTTTCAAAAATAAAGATCATTTGGAATCATAAACGATAACCAGAAAACCATTGAGCTTGCGGCACATCAATTCTGCAATGTAAAACAGACCCATTTCACTTAATAAGTGATATTTTAACTTACTATTAAAGCTATTTGCTTTTTAACAACATCAAAAATGCAGTGCAGTATTGCTTTAATGTCGTTTTCCTATTTTACAGTTTTCTGGGAGAGGGAGGGGGGGTAATGTGCCGGAAAAGGAATCGTGGTTAAAAGGAAGAAGTTCGAAAAGAAAAAAAGGAAAGAAGAAAGAATAGAAAGAGGGTAAAAGATGGAACTAAGAAGGAAAAATCGAGAGAAAAAGGTAGAAAAGAGGGCGGAGACGGAGAAAAAGAGGAAAGAAGGAAAGAGGGATAGATGAAGAGACGAAAGAGAGAAGAAAAGGAGGGAAAGATTGAGAAGAAGTAAGGTATAGAGAGAAGGAGAAGGAAAGAAAGAAGAAAGGAGCGAAGGAGAGAGTTAAGGAGAGAGAGAAGGAGAGAGAGAAGGAGAAAGAGAAGGAGTAAGAGAATGAGAGAGAGAATGAGAGAGAGACCGAGAGAGAGAGAATGAGAGAGAGAATGAGAGAGAAAATGAGAGAGAGAATGAGAGAGAGAGTGTGAGAGAGAATGAGAGAGAGAATGAGAGAGAGAACGAGAGAACGATAGAGAGAATAAGGAGAGAAGGAGAATTTTTTGCAGGTGGAGAAAAATGTAATAGGGTCCATTTTTGCAACATTTAATTGCGCTATAAAAATCGTTAAGATTTGCACACAGATTGACTTTCATGTTTAAATTATTGTTAAGTGACAGTCAGGAAATATTATTAAAGAGTTTTAATGTTTGGAACATTGATTTCATTCTTTAAGAACACTGTAAAATTTTTGTGTCCGCTGTTGCAAGTGCTATCTCCCAAAGGATATAAGAATTGAAAGCAGTATCTCCTGTAGACCAAACCAAGCCAGGATAATTATGAGAACATATATCCCGCCTATTGATCCCTGATTTGCACTCCAAGCCCCCTTTTCCTGATCTGTTTCTGTTCCGGAGAAAAATTCTCGGCATTCTCTCATGGTTGCGATCTTTGACAACAGTCTACAGTCTACAAAGTCAGCTCCGCTAAGATTGACCTTACAACCTATTTGCATTCCTAAAGCTGAACCTTCTTTGTGAACATATTATAATATTATAACAGATAATATACAAATATTCAAAACCTTTCTTTACAGAAAATAAATCTTAAATTCCTATCATCAAAGCGTAAGATTGCTAAGGTTTTTGTTTAAAAGAATTTTCACACACTAATTATTTAATGACCCTTTAAATAAAGACGGCAATTGAAAATTTACTTTTAACCTTTATTTGATAAACAATGATTGAAATTTTGTCTTTTTTATTTGGAATGTTTTCTATCTGGAATATTTTCTATCTGGAATGTTTTTATCTGGAATGTTTTCTATCTGGAATGTTTTCTATCTGGCATGTTTTCTATCTGGAATGTTTTCTATCTGGAATGTTTTCTATCTGGAATGGTTTCTATCTGGAATGGTTTCTATCTGGAATGGTTTCTATCTGGAATGTTTTCTATCTAAAATGGAAAAGTTTCAGATAATTTCTTTAAAAAAACTTTGGCTGAAAAACAAAACAAAATATTATAGAAGAAAACAATTATAATATTATGTAATAATATAGATAAAACTAAACTAAATCAAAAAGAAAAAACTAATTCAAAATTGTAAATATCTAAAATGTAATAGTAATTTCTTAATTTTCATTATAAATTTTGAAATCAAATTTTAATTTGTAAATTGTAAATTATGTAAATTGTAAATTGTAAATGATAAAGCTATGAAATATTTATGGTTTAGTGTCTTCATTAAAATACGCCTCTAGACACCTAATCTGAATATATTTAATTTCATGGAAAATAAATAACGTTTTCATAATTCTTGGAGATTACATTTAAAACAATCTTGTTGAGTTATTCTATCAAAACTTTATTTATTTCCATGTTGAAATTGATTTCAATCGGGTTTTTCTGTTTAACCGATTCAATTTAGAACTTCATCTGAGATTTTAAACCGACTTCATCTGAGATTCTAAACCGACTTCATCTGAGATTCTAAACCGACTTCATCTGAGATTTTAAACCGACTTCATCTGAGATTTTAAACCGACTTCATCTGATCTACCCGTGTGAGCTGAAAGGCTGGGTATATATACTGACCGTGAGAAAGGTTGAACTGAACAGTTTTATGTAGATGATTATACCATTTATGCCATTTATACAAAGCGATATCATCTTTTCATGCTGAGACAAGAGAAGAACTCTAATACTAGCTTCTGGTTTTTCCTTTATTCAACTAAACCCAAACCTTTATGAGATATCTAAACTACTCTAGGGTTGTAATTCCTTTATTATTTGTCCAATTAAAGAAAGATAACTAGTAAGAAACACAATATTATCTCAAGAGAGATAAACAAGGAAATAGAATTTAAAAAGATTTTTTGTCATCCGATGTTAAGATAACCTCGAGTATGAGAAAAACACGGGTTGGCAGGCAAACTCTCAGCTTTCTCTGGGGTTAGTTCAAGACTGCACACACCGGTCAAAGTTTAGAAATAAACTGCACTTGCAGACAAATATAATATTTTAAGTGAAACTAGTATTAAGTTCAGAAATTGTAAGTTAATTGAATTATTATAAAATATTCTAGACATACAAATGTTTTAGATATTTTAAGAAAATTCTGCAAAACATTCATTGAAACTAGAGATTGGTACAACAAATGAGTTTTGGTGAAATTATTTATGAATATTTTTTTGAGTGTTATATTCTGAGGCATATTGATGTCTAAATCGGTGAAAACGACAGGAGACTGGATGTCACTTTTTCTAGGATCAAAATCAAGCTCCAGAGATACCCAGAATACCAGTACCAGGTACTCAGGTAGGTACTCACCACCTGGTGACTACTCCGGATCCAGGTATTCGAGTAGATACTCACCCACTGCAGACTTCTCGGGTAGCAGGTACTCCAGAGATGCTGTTACTTCTCCAGTAGGAGACTTTAGCGGGAGAAGAAGTTTTAGAACCGATCAACCTTCTCCTGGTCTTGAATATACTGGGAGTCGGTACTCCAGAGACGAAATATCATCTCCTCCTCCATACAGACGAACTCAATCTTACACTGCCAGCTCCAGATACCTTCCACAATACACATCCAGGTTAACAGATGAGAGTTCAGTTTCAGAGAAACCAGATTCAGGTTCATATCTAAGACGAGAGAATGAATCTGGATCTTCTCTCCAGAATGGGAAAGTACAAGAGTCTAAAAGTCGGAGTTCTGTCACAGTTCTCAATGAAGGAACCATTGTAATAAGAAGAGAGGGAGGAGTAGAAGACTCGAGTGATGAGGATGAAGGGGATGAGGAAGAGGATTGTCCAGAGGATGAAAAGCAACTTCCGTCTCCAGCTAGAGATCCTCTAGAGGTAAGAAATAAATTGAGAAAAATATTTTTTTTAAATGTGTTTTAAATACCATATGTTTAGATGGAAGAGGAAGAATTGCTGATAAAACTTCAAACTGCTGGCTTTCTTCTTAGTTTACCAGAAGTATATACATTGTTCATTTTACGTGTTGATGTTTGGTTGTTTATCTTTGTGTTAATTTGTAAAAATATTGTCTAGTTGTCTTGTACATATATATTACTAGGCTTTGAGGGCTATCCCTCCCCCTTTTCTCGCAAAGTTTTTAACTTTTAGTTGTTGCTCTTTATGTATCCAGTAGATACAACAAATTTTGATTTTGCAGTTGGCGGGGCTTGAACCATGAATCCTTGGATTATGGATCAAACACGCTAACCACTTCTCCATCAAACCTTGATGATTTGGTAATGAAATAGGGACCAGAGAGCTCAACCAGATCATTATAAGTTGAGGGCCTTGCATAATGCTAATTAGTGCACCTATTCATTACCACAGAGTACTCAAGTTTAGCAGACTAAACAAGCATATATATCTGATATATTGTCTAATTGCTAATGTTTTCTTAATGTCAATTGTATATGAAATTGTCTTATTGTCGTGTGTGTATATCTTTGTACTATTTTACCAATTGTCCTGTAACATGAACTTTTGAATGGACGGATAGAGATAAGCTCCTTCTCAAAAAGCTAAGATTTGTCTTTGCCTCCGTTTAGGTACCTTTACAAGTTATTAACCCTATCGTAAAGAATTAAATCTAAAGAGTTAAACTCTTAAATTCAAAAGTTTCCATCGTGGATATTAAGAAAAGCTTAGGTCTATCTCGACTAACAGTTTTTGACTCTGTTTTATGCATAAATCATATATTTTTGTAGTAAAGAGTTTAAACTTTTGTAAATTATCCGTTCATTTTGTATTTGACGTTTTCCCAGGAAGAGCAGGCAAAGAGAAGATTAGTTGAGATCCGACAGATAAGAGAGAACCCTGATCTATTTAAACCTGAGAACTCCCGAGACTGGAAGTTTAGCCTGATATCTCAGGACCTTGCTAAACCTAACACTGCCAGGGCAGAGGAGGAGAAAATATTACTTTTGGTAAATATAAAATGAACTGAGGTTTTGCCCCAAACTCAAATTTTCAAATTTCTATATCTTCGCAACCTGATCGTGAAAACCTTTGACATTTTATCTAACAGAATTCATAGTTTGAAATATCAAAGGTCTCCGAAATTGAGTTGAATGAAAAGATATAGAGAAAATAAAATCAGGGTTAGTTGCAAGAACTCAATTTCTTTAATAATAATAATAATAATAATGATAATAATAACAATAACTAGCTGAAGTGCCCGGCGTTGCCCGTGGAATTAAAAGAAATTGGGCCACCTATATATATATATTCAGCACACATAAATATTTATATGAGCAAATAGCTTTAATAGATAGAAGATAATAAAAGTATTATTTAGAGGTTGTGTTCCCGCGGTATCTCCGACGTGGAGCAGACGGATATCCAGGTTCGGTTGCAGGAGCTCTGGAGAGACCGGAGAGAGGAGGTTGAGCGAGGAGTTGGAAAGTTAGAGGAAGAATATGAACATCATCTGACGGAGTCAAGCACTGAGATATCGGAGCTAGAAGGATCTATTCGAGGGAAACAAGCTGCAATATCTAAACTACAGGGATATACGATCAGGATTATAAATATTTCAGTTTTATAAAAAACCCATGGTTTAAAGGGACTGTACGCATAATTTCAAGTGACCCTCCATGCAAAGATAGCAATGCTCGATTCACAAATGAACCTTTGAAACCGTTCTCTGATCATTTATGTGGAGGATATTCTCATTTTTCTAGGCTTAAAAGTATGTTTTCCTGCAGCAAAATTTTCAAATTGAAAATTATCAGTTTTCCAAATTATAAACTTAAGCTTTTAAGGGTACCGTTGTAAATCGGACATTGCAATCTTTGCATGAAGGGTCACTTTGAATTACACTTACAGTCACTTTAAAGACAGTTCTGTTTTCTGTATTATATATTCTGGGTTCAGGAGGAGTTGTTGATTCTCAGTATCAGGAAAGAGAAGGTTGCTCAGGATATGGAGAAGGTATGTTTTTTCAAGATTGTGTTCATCATTAGATCATTATAGTACTCAGGGTTTTCCTCATGCAGGGGAACTCACAAAGGAAGAGACTTTAATGCCGACCTACATATCGTTGACTAACCCACTCTAAAAGTTAAATTTGGTTTTCTTTCCTAAATCTGTCTCTTAGTTGATTTGGGAAAGAAAGAATCAAATGCAGGGATCCATGTAAACAACAATACTGGACAAATTCCCTACACGCGTCTAAAAAGTCTCATTCTTTTTGGGTAGCCCTGTAAATATTTGCTTTGTCTGTCTGTTTGTATCAAATAACGTTAAAACGGCTGAAACGATCGCACCACATTTCATAAAGCTCATTTCGCGGATTTGAGCATTATCAAGTTTTAAAAATCTATACAACTTTTTCTGTTAAAATTTTTCAATTTCGACATAATTCTTCCCTGGGGTTATGAAAGATATGTAGTGGTGGTGATGGGAAATATTTGGTTTGAATTAAAAACTTTAAAAAAAAACTTCAAATATTTCAAAACTGCGTTCTGTTAAAGTTTGCTTCTATTTACCTTTGCAATATTTTTGTCCTAAAGAATATATAAGGGAAAAACAGATCGTTTGTGGTTTGTTTTTGGCTCGTTTTTTGTTTTTTTTTTGGCTCGTTTTTTGTATATATTTTCTCTGAGGGGCAAAATTTGGCAAAATGTAGGAAAAGCAAATATTTAGAATAAACAACTTTGACATTGTAAAACTTTCTGATTTTTGTGAAACTTTTTAAAAGTTCAAAAGCTCTCAAAAACGAACCAAGTTACTTCCCAAGAGATACAAGACAGAAATGTTATATATTATTTGCCAACCTTCTATCTTGACATAATGTTTTTGATAACATATTGACAGACATCTAAGAAAGGATTACTGTGTGATCTCTGAAGATAAATTAATCTAGAATTTATTGCATATTTGAATATTGTCAAGAATAGTGTTAAAATGTAAATTCTAAGAGAAGGCGTGAGATCTGTGATAAATTCTCGAGTGTGAGAATATTGAGATAATTGGTGAGACTACTCAGCTCCACCCCTCACTCTTATCCCATTAGTGGGTGTTTGAATACGAAACCCTGGATCCTCGTCCTGTCTAGCTCCAGTATAGGATTAGGTTTCCTACTTCAATATCAGCCAAGGTTTCTGTAAGGATCTTTTAAATCCGACTTTGACAAAGCGTCTGGTTTCCAGATCTAATGATAAGACTCCTAATCTGGGATCTAGAGATAAGATTGAATGGTTGAAGGAGACGGAGCTAAATACAAGACTACAGACCGGAGAATGATTTAACAAATTGACGGAAATAATTCAATTTAATTCTTTAATCTAATCCATACACTGTATAAAAGAGGGCTGACACCTGTTTTAACAATCAGTATTCAATATCTGAAAATTATTAAATACGTATCATTCTAATTTTCTTTTATTAGTTTATCAATTTAAAATTTTGAACAAATTTTAAATTCATCAAAATCCATATTCATCTCGAATAAATCAATAAACTTTCCTTCTATATCCCACGCATCTGAAATTCATAAACTATAATTTTAACTCCCCCCCCCCCGGTTTATTTTGTTCTTAAACCCCTTACGCTTTCTCAACTATTTATGTTTAAGGTTTCCGTGAAGCACCAGGAGAAGTTAAAGGAACTGCAGGATGAGATTGTAGGGTTGGAAACCCGGAGTTCAGAGTACAGTGTTGTAACCAAGAAGAGTAAGGAAGGAGAGAGTTCACTTCCTGAGGATGAGAGATCGGAGATAGAATCTGAGCTGGAGTGTCCGGTCTGTTTAGGTAAAATTAAAAAGCAACATAGGGCGCCATGAGATACTTTTGAACTACAAACTCCTGAAAAACAAACTAATGGTTACAACCTCTTGAAATGCAATTTCCTGAAATACAATCTCCTGAAATACAATCTCCTGAAGTTCAACCTCCTGAAATGCAATATCCTGAAATACAAGCTCCTGAAATAAAATCTCCTGAAATACAATCTCCTGAAGTACAATATCCTGAAATGCAATCTCCTGAAATACAATCTCCTGAAATACAATCTCCTGAAATACAATCTCCTTAGATAAAATCTCCTGAAATACAATCTCCTGAAATACAATCTCCTGAAGTACAATCTCCTGAAATACAATTTCCTGAAATACAATCTCCTGAAATACAATCTCCTGAAAAACAATCTCCTGAAATACAATCTCCTGAAGTACAATCTCCTGAAGTTCAACTTTTGAAATGCAATCTCCTGAAATATAATCTCCTGAAATAAAATCTCCTGAAATACAATCTCCTGAAATAAAATCTCCTGAAATACAATCTCCTGAAGTTCAACCTCCTTAAATACAATCTCCTGAAGTTCAACCTCCTGAAATGCAATCTCCTGAAATACAATCTCCTGAAATACAATCTCCTGAAATACAATCCCCTGAAGTACAATCTCCTGAAATAAAATCTCCTGAGATACAATCTCCTGAAGTACAATCTTCTGAAATACAATCTCATAAAATACAATATTCTGAGAAGACTCCTTAAAAACTCTAATTTATATATCTTCATATCTTATCAACCAAATGGTGTTAACCTTTGATATTTCAAGCTTAAATTAGTTGATGTTTAATGGTTTAGGATAGCGGGTTGCAAAGATATAAGGATTAGAAAATTAGAGTTTGTGGTAAGAACTTAGTTCCTTTGTTCCCGCATTACTCGGCCTCCTTGCAAAGGGGCCACAGATAGTGGTCTCTAACCTGGAACAAAAGATTTTTTTAAATGGCGGAGTTTGTTTATTTATAAGTTAGTACTTTTAGAAAATTCTTTTATACGTCCAATCAAAATTTTGCTATGGCGACGTAATTGGTCAAAACCTAGAATAATACATTAAGTTATTCTTTAGAAATATCTCGTCCCCCGATATACCAGTGTGGAGAAGGACATATAGTTTGCTCCACCTGTAAACCTTTACTGAAAACCTGTTGTCTCTGTGAGAGTAAGTACTCTGAGCCTCCCATAAGATGCAGGTTTGCAGAGAAACTTGCTGCTAAATATTTCAAAGAGGATGGAGATTAAACCCAAGATTTATACAAATTATGATTAACCATTATACTCGAATAAAAGGTAAATACTAAACCTGGAAACCTTGGTTATAAACGGATATCATGTTTATGTTCAAGATAAAGGTTGGGGGAAGAATTAATTAATTGAACGTATTCAGCTCACGTCTCCTCTCTCCTCTTAGTTTGGGAGAAATGTTCGCATGCCAAACCTTGAATTTATATATATACTTTGCTTGTCTCTGTCTGTCTGTCTGTCTGTTTGTATCCAATAAACGTCAAAACGACTGAACCGAACGGGCCCAAATTTTGTGAGAGACCTCAGGTGACACCAGGGAAGTTTTATGAATGATCAAAATGTAAAAATTTGTGTTTAACAGTTTTTATTTCTGTGCAATTATGAAAATGCGCGAAAAAATATTATGAAATCCGCAAAATTTTATTTTTTACTTTTTTATACTGTACAAAGAGAGATGCTCAAGATGCTCAAAGCCACAATTAAAAGTTAAAATTGAAGATGGACGCGAAGCGCCCGAAAAGCCTAGTATTCATAATTTAATTTTAGCATGGGATTAAATTTCAGATTGCTTTTACAAACACATCTGAATTTTGGGTTCAACATTTAAAAATGTTATCTAGGTCCAGGTTAGATACTCTCAGAGCAGTATGTATATATAGTTCTCTTGGTTCAGGTTAAATAATATGAAATGTTCTACAGGGATCAGCTGCCGATTCAAGTTAGAGAGAAGTAGTTCAACTTAGTCTACGTAATTTAACTACTTCTAGTTATTCATTAGATTTTGTCACAAGTGAAGGTCGAATATTCAGAAAATATTCTTTACAGGTTCAGGTTTAGTAATCTATATCGGTTCTCCAGGTTTAGGTGTAATCCTCGGACATAGAATCAGTTCTCCAAGCTTATAAAAATACTCAGTACCAGTTTAAAAAGGTTCAAAGTATGTAGCAAGAATAATTTTTAAAGGTAAAGATCAAATTTGTAATCCCAGTATACTCCAGATTTCGGTTAAATCCATTAAAAGGGGGGTAAGGAAAATTAATTACTTACAGCATCATTTATTAAAATTGGCTGATCGCATAAAAACTTTATTAACTTGGTATTGGTATTAAAGATTAAAGCCTTGCATCAGTTCAAGGTCCAGGGTAAAGAGTTGATTATCTGATGCATTATATTAAGGTCTAAACCAACATTTCTCTAGGATGTATCTCAAGGATTAAACCAACTTTTCTCTACGATATATCTTAAGGATTAAAACAACATTTCTCTAGGATATATATCAAAGATTAAACCAACATTTCTCTAGGATATATATCAAAGATTAAACCAACATTTCGTTAGGATATATCTCAAGGATTAAACCAAAATTTCTCTAGGATATATATAAAAAATAAACCAACATTTCGTTGGTATATATCTCAAGGATTAAACCAAAATTTCACTAGGATATATCTCAAGAATTAAACCAAAATTTCTCTATGATATATCTCAAGGGTTAAACCAAAGAGAATAGAATATATATTAGAGTAGAATTTAGAAAAAAGTGTAAAACGACCATTTTGTCGTACGGTTTCCATACTGCAGGTGTACTTCACACATTTTTGCTATATAACCTTTTGGGCCCTGGAACATCACTTTACAAACGATGATTTTCCGTTATAACTATAAATCAACTTATGTTTTTTATTCACCTAATTCATTTTATAAAGTTTATTTAACAGCTTTAAAATATTCGAAATTGAAATGGATAGTCTAGGGAACATACTGTATAAATGTACTCTACTGCATATAATTTGTGAACATTTATATGATTTGTACACCTTGAACTCCCTTTCAGGCTGAAAAAGACTGACAAATTTAATACCTAGGGATTGTCTAAATTCCACTCTAATATATATTCTCTTTGGATTAAACCAACATTTCTCAAGGATATATCTCAAGGATTAATCCAAAATTTCTCTAAGAAATCTCAAGGATTAAACCAACATTTCTCTAGGATATATCTCCAAAATCCTCCAAATAACAAAAGAATAGGTTCGTTATACACATCCTGGTCCTCCTTTACAAACCACTTTATCCCGGTTCATTGAATTAATTTTAAATTCTTTAAAATATCTATTTTCAGGTTTAACATGGATTTTCTTTAAGAACCTCGGGTCTCAGCTCAGAGTAATGCAACAGAATACAATTTTCATGAAACTTCTCCGTAAAAATATAAACTTCAGAGAATGATGATAAACACGATATTTTACAGAACAGAAACTGATTACTCCTCACAAAATTTTATTTTCAAATCCCTTCATCTTTGCAACTGATTATGTAAACAAATATTGTAACAAAATTCATTGCAATTTAAATATCAAAGGTGTACGATATCACATTGTAAAGATATAAGGATTACAAAATTAAAGTTTGTAGAAAGCGATCAGTTCAATTTTTTTTTCTTCAAACCATTCGACTCGAAGACAACTTAAATGATTACAGTTACGTTTGAATTAAAAAATATTTAAATCTTTTTAGGTTTAAATATTATTTGCTTATAAGTTAATATTAATATTTGTTTAAAGCTAGCGTGAGTTGCATATTAGTTTTAGTATTGTCGTCTCAGAGCCTAGTTCAGGGTACAAGAGGAACTATAGATACAGTCCTTTATACCTTGATGCAAAGGTGAACATTGGGGTTTCGTCCTAAACAGAGATATCTTTGATCCTTCGATCTTGGTTCTGGATTAGACCGGAGATGGTTTCTAGAGAGAGGTTTGATCGGAAACCTGGGATGAGAATGAGAAACTATGTTCCCCCTATTCCCAGGGTTTCTATGAGAAGGTTTCCGTTTCCTCTGGGGCTGAGAATATTCTCACTATGTGACATTTCTACAGAGCCCTCTATGGGAACCATGATAAAACTACATGGGTTGGTTTCAACAACTTTATAACTAAGAATGGTCTATTACGAGTTTTTATATTTTTTATATTTTTCTTCTCTTTAAACTTTTAGCCACTCATTCCTTCTTTTCATTCATTTTATCAGTTTTTTCTGACTGGATTCAGAATTTGCTTTTAATGTTACACAAAGAACTTGGATCTTTGTCACAAACTCTAATTTTCTAATTTTCATATCTTTGCAACCTGATGGGGCAAACCTTTGATATTTTAAACTTGGATCATTTAATCTAACAGAATTCATAGTTTGACATTCTAAGGGTATATGACATTGAGTTGTAAAGGTAAAGGGATTAGAAACGGAGAATTTGTGGCAAAATATGTATATCCAAAAAACAGATTTCCCATTTGATGTTTTTTTCAGGAAACCAGGTTTCCCATCTGAAGGTTTCTTTTCAAAAACCAGGTTTTCCATCTAATGGTTTCCTTTTAGAAAGCCAGGTTTTCCATCTAATGGTTTCACTATAGAAGATCTCTTAATCTGAAGGTTCCAATCAAGAAATCATTTTTTCCAACGCCAGGTTTCCTTTAATTAAAATCCTTTCTATCTAAGTTTCTTGTCAGGATTTCAGCTTTCCCAACATAAAAATTCCTGTCAGGAATTCAGGTTTGCACGATTTAAGGTTTTCTGTCAAGAATTCAAGTTTTCCAATTCAAAGATTCCTGTCAGTTATTTAGGTTTCCAGGTTCGAAGGTTCCTGACAGGGATTTGGTTTTCCTAGTTTTCCCAATTTAAAGTTTCCTGCCAGGAAATCATGCTTTCTATTTTAAAATTTCCTGACCGGAATTCAAGTTTTCCCAGTTTTCCCATTTTAAAGTGTCCTGTCAGGAAATCATGCTTTCTATTTTAAAATTTCCTGACAGGAATTCAAGTTTCCCAGTTTTCCCATTTTAAAGTTTCCTGTCAGGAAATCATGCTTTCTGTTTTAAAATTTCCTGACCGGAATTCAAGTTTTCCCATTTTAAAGTTTCCTGTCAGGAATTCAGGTTTAAAGTTTCTTTTTAAGAATTTATTATGTTATGCATTTAATCAATCATTTAAGTTAACAAATATTGAACACATCCCGCCTTGGTTAAGTTGATAATGTGAATATATTATGCAACCTAGTTGTTTGATACTGGATACGTTTAAATGCTGGGATTTAAATAATGAATAATAATATCGGAGTTGAGAATACATTTCCTCCTCTCCGGCCTCCTCCCCGGTTCAGCTCGGTGGGAAAGGATCGAAGCTCTGTGAGAAATTTCTCAGGTTGGCTGAAAGGCGAATCAACGCTTCTCCTGGTTCTCTCGACATTGTTCGGAACTTACATCCGTCCCTGAACCTTGAGGCGCCCAAACCTTGTAAATACTTGAGAATTATTGTGAACCATGTACCATCACATTCCTAGAATACTCTAAGATACTTAAGGAAGGTTCATTGAAAAATTAAAGTTTTTCTTGAAATAATAAGATTTCAAAAACGTCCTTCCTTTCTTTTTTTCCATGACTTTTTTCCTAAGCATGCGGCTTTATAGATTCTTTGAATTCAAAGCATCAGATATATCTAAGGTTTAAGTCGGCTAGCACATATTTTAACCCCTTTTGTGTGCGATACTTATTCTAAAACACTACGTATTTTTTATGGGAATTATGTTATGTAATCGGACATTTCTAGCTCTGTTTAGTTTCACGCTATACAGGATCTGTGAAACAACGACGGAAAACAAAATAACCGATTTCAAATTTTTAATATTTGGAATGCAATTTGGAAACATTAATCTGGACTCTCTGTATATTTCAAATATGACAAAAATAAAATATGAAAGATATTCTTGTAAAATATTCAACGTTGATTAAATTCTGAAAATGTTATAAAAAAAAACTCTTGCAACTTTTATTCTCCCAGAATTGAAAAACTTGAAAAGTAAAAAACGACGTTTCTGCAAAAACAGTTTATATATATTTATTCTCTCACATGAGTGTTGAACCCCCCTTCGGGTGGGAACGGCCGTTATAATTTCTGGATCTCACGGGGCCCGGCAGGGTCGGAGAGTATATTCTAGGGTTCATGATCGGGTCATATCCTTACAAATATCAATACATGAAGATACACATCCTTCTCATCCCAATCCTAAATATCACACCCGTCCCTCCTTCCACTTAGTATCCTAATAAACATGTTGTTAGATGGTTAAATCATTAAGATGAGACAGATGTGAATCCACGGTTCCAACTTCCCCTCTCTTCACACCCGTTTCACTTCCACTTGTAGTTCCTATATATCTATCCCGGCAAAAAATGCCAAGGAGTGATTGAAGATTCAAAAAAGAATACGTTAATTATTTGAATCCGAAGCTTTTTTTTGCCACGACAATCAATCAATCAATTGGTTGTTGTTAAGTATACGTATTCAGTTTGTCACTGACCGAAAACATTTCTTCTCTTTTAATTTTCCTTCCACCCAATCTCCATCTCTCCAAGTTTTCAATCTCCTTCCACCCAACCCTTCTCTCTCTATGTTTTAATTGGTATTTTATCCAACCGTTGTGTTTCCAAGTTTTCATTTTCCTTCCGTCCAACCCTTATTCCCTCACGTTTTTATTTTCCTTCCATCCAACCCTTCTATCCCCGTTTTCATCCTCCTTCCATCCAACCCTTCTATCCCCGTTTTCATCCTCATTCCATCCACCCTGTCTAACTCTAACCCCATTTCTCACTCTTTAGTCTTCACACCTAATCCAATCTAATTAAAACGAATTGAAAACCCTGAGAACTAGTTTCTGCTCCTGTTGGAAGAGTACTGGTTAAATATGTATAATATTAAATAATCTCGTGAACTCAAACAGTTTTTACAATCGTTTCTTCAACTACACCTTTTAACAGCCCAAGCCCTGTTTATCAGATACTAAAAGATAAAAGCAGTTCTCTTCGGATAACAGATATTGTTTGAATTAATTTAATCTTTCTCCTGCAGAATGTTAATTGAATTAATTAGCAAAGATTGCCTGCCTGGGTTAATTGTCTTCACTCTAACAATTTAACTTTTTATTTAAACTTTGTATTCAAGGTTTTTCCTGGCAAAGGTTTTTATCCACCCCACTCTTAATTTATTAATAAACATTCATTCAGTGTTATATTGTTTGAATTTTAAATAGTTTTTTTTTTGACGAGGATTGAACTAGAAATAAATTTAAATTTTAAAACAAGCATGAGACCGTGGGAGGGATGTCCCGAGGGTAGGGAGGGTGTAACCGTGCATGGTCCGTGGGGGGAGGAGGGGATACAGGAATTCATATGGGCTGAGAGGGAGGAGGTAGAGAAAAGAAAATAGACATGGGTAGTAAACATAGAACCACAGGAAGATGATATTTATGCCTCTTAACATTTTTAAAACTTTTTTTCTGAAGTTTTATAATTTATATGTTGTTCATCTCCTGAACCCTTTAGTTTAACATGTACTGTATATTGAGTCTCGAGTCTATAGGATGGGATTTGGGAGTATTTTTAGGATCAAGAGAGGGAGGCAGTGATCAAGAAGTATTAGGAGGAGTGAAGTATTCTAGATTATATGAACTCCAAGTATTGTAAAGCGGAGAATAGGGAGTACTAATTATATTTAAGTATGGAGTTGAAAGATTTAGAACACCTGACGGGTTGGGGTTGAGAAGGAGACGTCTACAGTTCCTTTAAAGTATATAATTCAAGTTACGTCTACAGTTCCTTTAAAGTATATAATTCAAGTTACGTCTACAGTTCCTTTAAATAATATGATTCAAATGGTGAAAGTATGATCTAGATACAGAGTTACCCACAAAGGATTTGACTTTAATTACCTGAAACTTCTGAAACTTTGCGGTCCTTATTGTATATTATTATGTAAATGATTGAATAAATGTTCTTAAAAAATGCAATCAACCATGAATTCAGTAGGCTTTTCAGTAAATTGAACGGTCGCTTTTTGGGTCATCCTGTATGTACTTTTCTATGGAAATCATTTCGATGTATCCGTTTGCACGTGATCACTGCACTGCATCAAATAAAGCAAGGAATCTTGAAGCTTAAAATCTTGTATGAAAGATTTGAAAGGTCTGTTTCGATCCATTATTCCAAGGTATTTGGATGAAAGGACGCTTCTCCAGGTCTGCTGGGAGATGGCGTGGATTCCGTGAACCTACTCACCCTGGATCTATATCGTATAATATCTTCTCAAGATCACTAACCATAAACTACTATTATAAAACCAAACTTGAAAACAATCTTTTTGAAGAAAACTTAACCTCAAATTTCAGATAAGTTCTTTATATTTTAGGAAACAAGTATCTTAAAACAAACTTTTAATGAATATTAATAATAATGTGTCCTATTTATTTATGTACGCTTCGCTTTGTGCTTTCTTCTAACACTAACATTTATGTTTTACAATAACGGCGGGTAGAAATTAAGAATTAAAAATGTGATGATAATAAATATGCTTCTTTGAAACAAAATAGTTTATAACGATCTTTACTTTTCCAGCATTTAAATAGATTCCAGCTTTTCCGGATAGAAGTCACTGCAATCTCAGAATGTCAGGGATTATGAAAGCTCTACTAAATTCGTATCAGCCCGACCCTTTCCTCGTACTAAACTACAGATTAATAACACGAATAACACCCAATGATTTGCTATATTTCATTAAAAGTTACAATATTTTAAAAATGAATTTTTCCGTATTCTGGGATTTGCACATGTCCAAATTCCAAAATGTGGTTTTCCTCATTTTTTTAATGTTTAGCATCAATAATGATATTTTAACCAAGTTTCAATTTATTCAAAAAATACGAAGTATTTTTTCATATTTGAACTTTTCCCTTCACTAAATCAGACCGTTTATTGGAACACGCTGTATTTACATCCCCGTTAAAACATTTTACTGGTTCACTCAAAATCCATCAAGATAAAACATCAAGAAAGAGTTTTTCTTATATAGATACATGTGTTTTAAATGCTAAGATGAGATATAGATACATTTTTTTACGACTTCTGACATATGTTAAAACATTTGTTTTTCAACACAAACCCTTGTTATCACAAGCCTACAGAGAATATCCCACCAACAAATATTTAAATTCTACAAAAGTCATTTCTAAATTTATGTAGCAGGCTGGAGGTTTTTACACCACGGGTTTCTCGTGAGAATTGTCATTTTTTGCCGTGAGATTTTCTCATAGTATCTCACGGTGTAATTGTAGGATTCTCTGCCGGGTAAGGTTTATGGTTGTACTTAAATCCAGGTTTTTGCATGCTGAGACTCTTATTATTAGAGAAATATTCAAGAATTTCATTTTTCATCCCTCAACAGATACCATGGAAGATAAATATATACCAAACCTTCTCAACTCAACTCAACAATTAGTTTCAAAAACTGCGCCAAAAAAAAAAGCTCTTCCTAAGAAAAAACAATCGTTCAAACCATGTTTTCATACCTGCAGTCTCAAACGTATGTATAGCATTAAAATATTACAGTTAGACCCATAAAATATAGGAAAACGACATTTTGCACTTTAATACGTATTTTGTTATAAAGAAAATGGTTTTATCAGTAGTTTGAAAATCAACAGCTTAAGTAAGATTATTTTCAGAGATATATCAGTTATGAAATACCATTTGCGGTATTTACAAATAAAAGGAATATCAGAGGCCGATATAATTCTATATTATATTGGTTATCTTTGTCGTATTTGCTAATAAAACAAATATGCATGTTAAATGTTAATTTAGGAAATATGAGAGAATTGCTAAATATACCGGATCATTGAAGAGATCCCTATATTAGTAAGAATTGGATCCAACGATATGTAGATAAGCGTTTACTGTAATAGTATACTTAAATTTAAATTCAACTTATTTTCTGCAGACCGAGGTTGCGTGATAAAATCAAATCTTAAATATCAAATAACTTAAACAGAAAATTTTATTCTGTAATTTTAATTAAATACCAAACCTCTTTTCGTCTGCTATATATAACACACATCTTTATAATGGGCACATTTCTAGTAGAGTGGAGGAACTTAACACACCTGTATAAATACTTTTTATTGCATAGTTTTTACAAGCATTAAGTCGATTAAAATGTCGGAAGCCAACAAAGTTAATTTTTATAAAAGTCCTCGTTAGGATTATAAGATTTGTATGATGATGAGTCACAACCGTTAAGATCGATATTTTCTCCTTTAGTCCTAAAATTTAAATATATTTAAAATCAAATTTTTTAATGGCTTCAGAGTTTTCTTTAAATAAAAATCTTAAATGCATGAAAATAAGAAATGGAGGAGGGGGAGACGGAAGGAGTGACGTAGGAAAGGGAGTAAGGAGGGAAGGAAGAAGAAAGGTGGAATGGCAGCTAGGAGTATTAAATTAAAGGCAGTTAGGAGGAACGTAGCAAAGAAGGAAAGGAGGAAAGTTTGAAAGACAGTGAGTGAGGAGGAAAGGATGAACTTGGGAAAAGAGGAAAGAAAAGAGGAAGGAAAGGAGGAAGGAAAAAAGAAAGGAAAGGAGGAAGGAAATGAGTAAGGGAAAAGAGTAAGGAAATAGAGGAAGGAAAAGGAGGAAGGAAAGGAGGAAGGAAGAGGAAGGAAAGAAGGAAGGAAAAGAGGAAGGAAAGAAGGAAGGAAAAGAGGAAGGAAAGAAGGAAGGAAAAGAGGAAGGAAAGGAGTAAGGGAAAGGAGGAAGGAAAAGGAGGAAGGGAAAGGAGGAAGGGAAAGGAGGAAGGGAAAGGAGGAAAGGAAAGGAGGAAGGATAGGAGNGAGGAAAGGAGGAAGGTAAAGGAGGAAGGAAAAGGAGAAAGGAAAAGGAGGAAGGGTAAGGAGGAAGGAAAAGGAGGAAGGGAAAGGAGGAAGGGAAAGGAGGAAGGGAAAGGAGGAAGGGAAAGGAGGAAGGGAAAGGAGGAAGGATAGGAGGAAGGAAAGGAGGAAGGAAAGGAGGAAGGAAAGGAGGAAGGAAAGGAGGAAGGAAAGGAGGAAGAAAAGGAGGAAGGAAAAGAGTAAGGAAATTATAAATGAACGATAACTATAAGACAGACATGACATAGGTAAAAAGAAGAAAAAAAACTGTTCAATGATAGACCAGGATTCACATTGCTTGTGGCCCCATATTTACCAAGATGAAAATTTGCAATAACATGGTCTAGAGGTAATTTTAAGTGACCCTTCATTTTTAGAGTGACAGGTCCGATTCACAACGGTATCCTTAAAAGCTTTGCCTGATCAAGTATGAATTAGATATCCAAGTTTAAAAATGTGCTTCCTCTACAAAAGTGACTTGCGCATTTCTGCTGATGAAAAAATTCAAGGATTATCAGAATTAAACCATTAAAAACCTAGAAAAACGAAGTTATCTTCCACATTGAATAGATAAATGTTTCAAAGGTTCCTTTGTGAATCGCGCATGGACCTCTTTTTTGTTTTTGTTTTGAAATAACAAGGACAGTCTCTAAACGTAAGAAAGACCAAAGAAACTGATTTATTGAGTATTCTACCTGTGTCCAGCCCGACCGAACAGCTGTGACCCGTACCCAGTGTACATCCATTTAAAACTTGTAATGGCTGAACCAATCGGAACCTAGGCGTAGAAATTAATTCATTTCAGTGACGAAACTTATAATATTTACCTTAAACTCTTGTACATAGAGTTTCTAAAATCTTACCTGAGCAAATGTTTTGATCTAAATGCCAGTATTTTTTATTTCGGTTTTTGTTGTCATTTGTATCAAAAAAAGTATTTTTCTAGTTGTAAAAAAAATTTAAATGTGAATTTTTACAAATCTTAACTAGATCCTATCATGCTTCCTACCTGGATCCAATCATCTTCCTACCTGGATCCAATCATATTTTCTACCTGGATCCAATTATGTTTTTTTTCTACCTGAATCTAATTATGTTTTCTACCTGGATCCAATCATGCTTCCTACCCGGATCCTATCATCTTCCTACCTGGATCCTATCATGCAATTCCTACCTGGATCCAATCATGTTTTCTACCTGGATCCAATCATGTTTTCTACCTGGATCCAATCATGTTTTCTACCTGGATCCAATCATGTTTTCTACCTGAATCCAATCATGCTTCCTACCCGGATCAAATAAGCTTTTCACCTGGATTATAGAAACCAGGGAGAAGAATATACCAAGATTAAAGGCCCAGGGTGGAAGAGGAGAAGGTTGTGGTACCGACGGCCAAACCACAAAGTATGTCACAACTGAAAAAATCCGCGTTTATTCTGAACTAACAAATTTAATTTATTAACTTTAATGTTTACCTAGTCCGAAAATAAATAGGGGATTAATGAACCACAGAAACTTGAAAACTAGTTGGAAAAGAGTTCCTTTCGTTCTAAGGGATAGTCTTTTAACCCCGTAGCACCAGAACACTGAGATAGAGAGAAGGTTTCCAAGAACAAAGATTGGAATATTGTATCCGTATTTGTGATACAGCACTAGGATACTGGATCCATTCTGGAAGATCAGAGGTAAGCTGAGAAGGAATCCTAGCAAGGAAAGGAGTATGCAGCAAATTAAAACCTTAAACCTAAAAAAAGTAAAGCTATAGCTATTTTACAACTATTGTTGATTTTATTAATTATATTTTTTTGTTAAAATACTAACCGACTTCTTGAGTAGGACAGTGCACAGATTGAAACAATATTTGTTGATACTCCGAGTATAAGGTTAAACCCTGACAGGGCTATAGCTAGATAAATAACCATGACGAAATATTCTCCGTCTTTGTACCCAGAGATTAAAACAGGAATCAGAGCAAATGGGAAATATCCAATTTCATTTTTCTCCCTGATATCTTTAATATCAAGGTTGTCAGGAAGCAGTGGTAGGATGCATATAGAAGAGAGGACTAGGAAGAGAAGATGAAACATGATTGCTGCGGAGGAGATTAGTTTATTGCTCCGAGATCCATCTGAGAGCGAGGTATAGGTTCCAACAGGACCACTAAATATTAATAATCCAGTTGTAACAAGATAAAACGAATCCAACCAGCAACCAGGGCTCCTGTAGGAGTGGGAAGGACTTAGACTGAGAACCATCTTGAAGGTTTGTAAAACATCCTGCTTCACGAGGTTCCTGATTGAGACCGCTCCGACTAGACAGAGCAGGAGAACAGATAGTACACTAGCTACACCCAGGACATGTTTCTTCAATAGAGGAACTATACATCCAGTTAATATCCATAGAACAGCGGATACAATCACTAGCTGAATATTCAGGGATCCAAGATCACCTAGAGCTCGCAAACCATGCTGATCCGTCTAGAAACATCTTTAATTCTTTTTTTTGTTTAATTTAGGCATACAAGCATTCAAGACTGAATTACTTTTGCATAGGAGCTGACATAGCTTTAGAGTTTCTGATGAGGATAAAAAGATCACACTTTTATTATTCTCATGAATATCCCTTTAAAAAATCAAAAAATCGACAGAAATATTTATCGTTGAATTGATAAAGAAAGAAAAATGTGTCAAAATGCAAAGAGAACTCACAACTTATAAATTTATAAATGTAAGATGTATTCCTGAAGAATATATTTCTCCCAAAACTGAACATGGCTTGGCTCTGAATGCTGATGACAATGGTCTCCGGCAAGATTGTACACATTGCAGAGAAGACTGAAAACAATTAATAATTACATAAAAACATTTGTTTAAAGAAAATAAAATATTGAATTTTTTTAGTCTATGTTATCTCTTGGGTACCCATATGGGTTTCCTAGAAAAAAATTTAGCCTGTTCGGTCCAGCCGTTTGGCCAGCTATAGCTGACATAATTTGTTTAATATATATGAGCGAAGAGCTTTATTATATCGTAGAAGATTTAGAAAATGAATCCAGTTTTTTAAAAAACAAAAATAAGTTATTCGGAGTTCTCTTTGGACTGAGTATATTCCTCCCAGAAATTTGCAGAACACTTTTTAGCAATATTCAGTATATTTTTTACTGTAACCAATAACCATACCTCTTGTTTAAGAATTGATGATCTATATCTGATGAAGGAATACATCTATCATCAGCTCCCCACCAACTCTCACACAACGTCCAGGGGAACGGATTGAACAGGGAGTTAATGCTGTACATGATACTATAGCTTGTCAGGGTACTTGCCTAGGTTTAGATACTTAAATACGCCTAGGTTTGAACCCAACTAAAATTAAGGGATCAAGAAGTTTTCCCTCAAATTTGAAAGTTTCCACCGTGGACACAGAGATAAACAGTTGAAGCTTAGTGCTTTTATACACAAAAGTTTCTATCTCAGAACGATCGGAAAAATATGTTTTCTTTGAGGATGAAATTAAGATTTTTAAACCTTAGTTACAAGGAAGAGAGATGCAGTGAGCAGAGCTGGTCCTAATCCTGACATTACAGGAACCAGAGTAGACCAGACAAACAAAGAACTAGACCTCTCTAAGGAACCTAGAGACAAGATGAAGGTTCAGAATTGTTGAGATTATGGAAACTATTGGAACTGTTTTTGAAAATCATTGACAAATATTAAAACCTACAGTAGGCTTAACTTTCAATGACCCTCCATTTACAGAAAAGGCATGTCTGATTCACATCAGTACCTTTAAAGCTTTGCATGATCATGTATGAATGAGATGTCCATGTTTTTTAGATTATTTTCAATTAATGACTGGCGGATTTCTCCCATAAAAACAATGTAGAAAAGTGTCCAAATTAAATATTTTAAGCCTCAAATAAATTCCACATTATTGACCAGATAAAGGTTTAAAGGGTAACGAATTGTTAATCGGGACCCCTCTTTCATAATGGGGGGGGACCTAAAATAACAATCTTAGTCCCCCGAAAAGGAAGTTTTTCAAAGATTTTTGAATTATTGTAAGTATTTTAGCAACTACTAAAAAAAGAAGATAACCATGCCCTACCTATAATATTTTCCATGAGGAAGATAGGAACCCCTATTAATGCCAGGACCAGGAGATAAATCATCAACCCGTCCCCTCTCCACTCCAGCAGGAACTGCGGGAAGAAGATGAAGGTTTCAATATTCATGACCAAACCCATCAAACCACACAATATCTGTGTAACTCCAAACCAAGATCTTCTCACTTTAAATTTCTTCACTGGAGTCCTATACGTTTAAATAAAGGTAAAAAATTATCTTTTAAAATCTAATGATTTAATTTTGCTCACCTGACATCACAGGATTTATCCAGAGGTTTGAAGTTCTCCAGGTTACACGGACTTAGGTACGTCATTACACTGGTTGCTAACACCCAGAACATATTTTTAAACTTGCTCTTTGATTCAGCTTTAGCGAACATTTTCATCGCAAAAGATAATGATTGTCAATGAGATTTCAAGATGATTCAAAAACTGCAAGTTAAAATTTTGTACAAGTTTTTAACAAGTTTCTAAAAGTGGTTAAAAGTTTCCTAAAAGGAAAGATTCCTAAAAGAGTTTTCCAAAAATGTTCTAAAAGGGGTTAAAAATGTTCTTACAGAGGTAAAAAAGTATCCCAAATAGGGTTTAATAGAATCCCAGAAGGGGTGAAACGGTTACAAACAAAGCTTTAAAGGTTCTCGAGTGTTTTCAAGTTTCTAAGGTTGAAGAGCTTTTAAAAAGAACCATTATGGGGACTAAAGCTGTTTCTAAAGGGATCAAAAAGAATTCCAAAGGGTTTAAAAGTTTCCTAAGGGAAATGTATAAATAAAAACCGGTTTCCATCCATACAAGAATAATCTTTGTGTGATTAAAGTGCGAATAAACAACCGACTTGGAAACATTATTAGACTGGATATTCATTCCTATAGAAGGTTTGAGTCCCATGTTATGCTCTAAGGATAGTTTGGAAACACTACTCGTACTTCCCCTGAGAAAAAAATGTGAAACATCGATAACGTAAAAAAGTTTGTGTGATTATTTTTTCTCATTTCGTTCGCCATCTCTCGCCGTGTTTTCTAATTTCAAGTGACCCTTCAGGAAAAGATGAAAATGTCCGATTCCCAACGGTACCCTAGGAACCTTTATCTGATCAATAATTTGGAAGATACTGTCGTTTTTCTAGGCTTCAAAGTGTTTTTTTAACTTTTATATTTTCCGATATTTCCTATATACTTTCCTCTAAAGTAGAAATACGCAAGTCACTTAAGAAGAGAAAACACTGCAATTCAAAATGATCAGTTTTGAAAATTATAAACATTTATAAATAATTCAAACTTGATCATACAAACCTTTTATGGGTACTGTTGTGAATCGGGCATTGCCACCTTTGCATTGAGAGTCACTTGAAATATTAGGCTTCTATATTTTTAACAAGTACTTACCCATCTCTGGTATAAAGATAAATGGTAAGTGAGTTCTGTATCTTTGATAAGTATACTTACCCCATCTCCGGTGTAAAGATTGCCTGGTAAGTAGGTCCAGCATGTCCAGGGGTATTGAAGAGGTTATCCTCCTTCTTGCTGGAGAATGATAGGTGAGAGCAGAGGATCGGAGTAGAATTATGATCTGGAGTTACGACATCACAGTCTAGTTCTGGAGAAAATACTTCCTTGAACCCGGATTGAACCTTCATCTCACTGCAGAAAAAAATATAATAAGGACTTAAGTTCCGAAAGCTGTAAGGAGCCAAAACAAAAGGAAAATTGACATGACTTATAAACTATTTGAATCTTAATAGTTTCTTCAATCTTCATTTAGTTAAAAAATCGTTCGGCTTTGCTGACCTACCCCATCCCACTCCTAGTTAACCTTAAAGGAGTCTCTTTTAGATATTTTAGTCACACCCATCCCCCCCCCCCAGGCACCCCACCCCACCCCCTACACCACGAGAAATAATTCTGCTTACATTTCTTGGTCGTTTCTTTTCGGTGTCCTTTGTCTATTGGTATTCATGTTGTCATCTATAAACAAGTTTTATTGAAGTTTTTTATTGTTGTTCTCGATTCTAATTAATTAGAGGAATTGTTAGTTTATGCATGCCCCACTCAATTAACTCTTAAATTTTATCAGTTTTAGAGGCATGCCAAAACAGCCATGAAAACTAAAAAAGGAAAATGGTAAAATGTTTAAAGATTTTTCTCAGATGATAGGAAATTATCAATAACTTTTTTAATTTTGTGCTGCAATGTTTACCTTTCTTATATATTAAAATATTTTAATTTAATGATAAAGGCATGAGTTAAAGATAAAAATACAGGGTATGACCATCCCGGGATATCGACGAGTAATTAAAATAATCCGTTGGTCCACATAAGATGGAGATTAATGCTTTTTCCGAAATTTAAAAGTTACGACTTCTGGTTGGAGAGATGAAGCCAACAAGTAATGTCGTCTTCAACGAATCCAAGTTTTAACGGAAGATTTTCTTAATATCCAGAATCTATTTAATCTTCTTCTTCTTCAGCTATAAATGAACGTTAACCATTCGAATGGTATTTTCCGTTCTTTCTCTAAATTTTTGTTCGTTTACGATCTAAAACTCATTAACGGCATTAACGGAAGATAGGAAGATATTTTAGAAATTTTTAAAGACAAATTTAAAAAAAACGTCAAAACATGTAAAAAAAACCTCATCTTTTCATTTTTTTATTAACCGCTAAAGATTTAAAAAAAACGATTTTTGCTGTTCAATTTCCAGCAGGAGGGGGGGGGGGCTCCCACCCAGTAGGAAGACAGGGGGCGTGCACCTCTGCGCCCCCCCCACAGTTACGGCCTTGGACACAGCCGTTAATTTTTATAAACTTGCTTTGTTTGTAAGCCCCCTGACACTAGAAAAAGCACTTCTATCACCTAAAATTCAATATTACCATTTCCCTGCACAATGTTTGTTTATAAAAGTATTGCTAAAAACACATGCCAGGATTCAAGTAAATTGTTATTTTTATTCTATAATATATTCTATAATATATTCTATAGTGTATTCTATAATGTATTCTATAATAATTGAGAAAACACGTTTAAATGGTACCCGCTTGACCTAAAGTTTTTCCGACCTTCTAAATAATTAGAAAGTCTTAAATGTCGTCGTGTTAAATTATCAACTGCAGTTATCCTTCTCTACTAATATGTGGGAAGAAAGATTGAGAAGAGATAACAAAAAGCGGGAACGTCTTTCCTCCGATTCGATAATCATAATTTATTTAAAGCACTATACAACTCACCACCCCCAAAATGAGAAATTTTTGTTCCCGAAAAAGTCAGCATATTGTTCCTGAAATATAAAGTTAAACATATGAAAAATGAATAATATGAAAATTGTAAAACAATGCATGAGTAGATATATAAAATAAGAATAAAAGAATTGATATACAAGACAAGTGTACAGTGTTCACCTGTACACTGATCTTATTTTTCACTGTACTGTAGTTTACTGTGTACACGTTGGTGACATGGAAACGCTCAACGCGGAAACGGATCAAAAATAAGCGGAAACCGATTAAATTACTCCTTTTTTAATGCATTTCCACGATTTCTTCAAATTTGTAATTTCAGATTTCGAGGAGTTCCCTCTTTTTTTTTGATCGATTTACCAAAATTGTATATCCATTTCCGCTTTCCCAATATTTTTGGTACGTTTCCTTATTTTTTTTTCCCCCGTTTCCTCTTTTTTCAAATACTTTTAAAATGATCTGTTTCCTCATATTTTTGATTGTTTTCCTCAAATTTTAGGTCTGTTTCCTCATATTTTTGATCCGTTTCCGCTTTTTACAAAAACTTTAAAATCTCAGTTTGTTGATCAGTTTCCTAAAATTTTAGGTCTGTTTCCTCATATTTTTGATCCATTTCCGCTTTTTACAAAAACTTTAAAATCTCAATTTGCTGATCAGTTTCCTCAAATTTTAGGTCCGTGTTTCCTCATATTTTTCATCCGTTTCTGCTTTTTACAAAAACTTTAAAAATCTCAATTTGTTGAATTTCCTTAAATTTTAGGTCCGTTTCCTCATATTTTTGATCCATTTCCGCTTTTTACAAAAACTTGAAAAATCTCATTTTGTTGAACGGTTTCCTCAAATTTTAGGTCTGCTTCCTCATTTTTTGATCCAAAACTTTAAATCTCTCAATTTTTGATCGGTTTCCTCAAATTTTAGGTCTGTTTCTTCATATTTTTGATCCGTTTCTGCTTTTTCCAAAAACTTTAAATCTCTCAATTTGTTGATCAGTTTCCTCAAATTCATGGGACATATCCGCTTTTTACACAAACTTAAGAAATCTTTTATTGTTGATAAATTTCTACTTTTTACAAGAACTTTGAAAATCTACTATTACTATTTAGCAAATTCCTCTCATTTTGCTTAGATTTGATCCATTCTTGGGTATAAATCGATTTAAAAAAAAGAGAGAGAGGGTGTAAGGCCACAATGACCTCCGGAGCCTACTTCACACCACTCTCCACTCTACTTTCCACTCTACTCTCCACTCTACTCTCCACTCTATTTTCCACTCTACTCTCCACTCTACTCGATCCACTCTACTCTCTAATCTACTCTCCACTCTACTCTCCAATCTTCTCTCCACTCTACTCTCAACTGTACTCTCCACTCTACTCTCCATTCTACTCTCCACTGTACTCTCCACTCTACTCTCCACTCTACTCTCCACTCTACTCTCCACTCTACTCTCCACTCTACTCTCCACTCTACTCTCCACTCTACTCTCCACTCTACTCTCCAATCTATTCTCCACTCTCCTCTCCACTGATAAAGAGAAAACTAATGAGAGCACTGAATACTAATTGAGAGAAGCGTCTGGTGTAGAAAGAGTACAATAGGTTAGTTTATGTTCGCCTCAACAGTACAATATCTCAGTACATATTCCGCTTTATAGTACAAAGGGTGAGCTCATGGCTGTCTTTCTAGTTTATTAGGAAATTGCAGTTTTAAAGTACAATTGGTAAGTATATGTATTATCAGTACATCATGGGTAAACATGTTGCTATTGAAGTACAGTAGTTGAGTACATGTTCATCTTTGCAGTACAAAGATTGAGTAAAAGTTTGTCTAAATAGTACAACAGGCAAATACATTCTTGTCTAAATAGGTAAACAGGTAAATACATGTTTGACTAAATAGTACAACAGATAAGTGCATGTTTGTCTAAATAGTAAAAGACAGGTAAGTACATGTTTGTCTGAATTCTAAATCGTACAGCAGATAAGTACATGTTTGTCTAAATAGCAAAAAACAGGTAAGTACATGTTTGTCTAAATAGTACAACAATAAAGTTAATGTTTGTCTTATTCAAAATGTTAGTAAATATCCCTTTTTATAGTACAGTAGGCGAGTACAGTGAAGGTTGAATATTTATTATTTATTATCATGCTTTTTTTTATTTTATCCGTTCCTTCTTTCCATCTCTTACTTCTTTTTAACCTTATTTAGAAGCAGGATAATGAATTCAAAGAATAAAGGAATTGAGTCTTTGGAACAAAATCAAATATTTAAACCTCAATAACTTTAGAACCCGATATTGTAAACCTTTGATTTTTCAAACTCAGATTATTTGATTTAACAAAATTCATAGTTTGAAATATCTAAGGTCTGCAACATTTGGTTCCAAAGATATAGTGATTAGAAAATCAGAGTTTGTGGCAAAAACTCAATTCCTTTGGATTTAACCCACAGTGAGCTGAGCATACATAAGAATAACAGTTCACCAACAATTTGAAAATTCTTCCAGATCTGAAAATACTCTTCAGAAGCAAGATTCTGTAAAAATCAGAAACGCAACTAAGTGAAAAACAATTCATATCAAATTTTTTTTTGTGATAAAATATTTACTTTTGTTTCTAATCAATTTAAGTTATTTTAATATAAAAAGTTTTAAAGCAACAACATTTTTTAAACTGTAGGTTTATAATTGCAATTGATTCATAATGCAGTATTGAGAATCAGAAAACTCTTAAATATAAAAACGACTTTTAGACTCAATCTATGACTTTTATATATTGTCTAATTGCTCCATTGCGTTGTTAACGGACCCATTCTGGATTAGTGATTTTATAACTGTCTTGTAAAAGTAAAACATCCAAAACGTCTTGTAAAAACATCCAATACACTTAAATTTGACTATAAAGTTGTCTTACTATTCTTAACTTTTGAGGGATTTCCTCGAATTTCTAAAAAAACGAAAATTCCTCCAAAATATTTTTGATCTGTTTCCGTGTTGATCTGTTTCCATGTCACCGCACACGATACCTCTCTAGCAGGGATTATACATTTATGGGTTTGATTTGACCATTGTTTTCTCTAAGGATTTTCAATGTCAAATTAAAAGTTAAATATACGTTTGTTTCTCGTAACCCATAAAACTATGCAATAAAAAACGTACCAGCTATCACTCCAGTTTTTAATTTTAAGTAGTTCCTATGAACATGAGACACGGCAATCTTCGAACTTGAAAAAGTCCGTCGTAGAGTAATCACAATTGAAAATAATCAATTTTCAAAACTGATAACGTTGATATCTAATTTATACTTGATCGAACAAAGCTTTTAAGGGTGCCGTTATGAATGAGGCATTGCCATCTTTGCCTGAAGGTTCACTTGAAATTTCGCTTTCAGTCCCTTTAATATAAAAACATTATGATGGTTTAACTCCAAGAATGTTTAAATGTCACCAATATCACATTACAACAAATAAATACATCTGAAAACAATAAAATATAGATTTATTTCAAATATTTTGCATTAAAATACAATTTTCAGAAGTACTGAAATCTTTTATTCAGTTTCGTATAAATTAGATATATTTTAGAATAAAACATTCCAAGTCTATAGGTATAGGTTCATTTATAGACAAGAAGTCAAATTATATTGTATGTTTGAAGGAAAAATACAGAAGGACCCATATACGTTGAACATAAAGTTATTTTAAGATAGTCTGCACTGAACGTGAAAAACACAGACCCATTTTAAAAATAAGATTATTTTCAAATCCACATAAGATTGATTAAATGACATCTTTAAATTCTTTCAGTTCCACTGCATAAACTTAGCACCGTAATCCTATTTCTGGCTGCAGCCAGGCTTTTTTTATAATTTAAAATGATATTTTTTAAAGCATTAAAAATCGTCCAATCGTAAACCACTTAAAAAGATATTTCAACCTTTTCGTAGAGATACCCACAAAAGATTAAACCTTCAGAGACAGAATGTTTCTCAGTCCTTTTTCTTATACATTCATGCGCAGGTCAAAATTAGCTTCATTGTGTAATAAATCATTTCGTAAACCATTTAAATACTAAATTGAAGGACAGAAAACCAAAATCAAGCAATTCAAACAGTCATGTTCTAGGAGTTTTGGGTCGTCATCACAGGCCCCTCCTTTGTGGGTAACCCTGCATAGATCTCTAATCGGATCAGTAAGATTTTGTATAGTAAATTTTCGTATAGTAACATATTGCCTAGGTTCATTTTTGTATAGTACACTTTGTATGGGTAACATCTTTTTATAAGTAACATTTCGCACAGGTAACATACGGGGTAATTTTTCGTAAAAATGTAAAAAAAAGGATATAACATTTATAAGCTATCTGAAAAGCTGTTGAACATATTTTTTTCTTTTTTACCGAATGATTATCTATCAGATTTCAAGTATTCTTGGATCAGAGAGGATGCCAAACTGTTCAGCAAGTAATTTAATGTTACACACAAGTCCTCCAATAGTTGACAGTCTTTATGGTAATTGTTTTGTTATCAACTATGGCATCTTCACCCTAACTCGAACACTTAGTAAGTCTTATCAGAGATAAATGGTTTTGAAAAAATTGTAAATTGGCGGCTTTCTTCATCAAGGTTCATAGATATCTTTGCAAACTATTTCCATTCTGTTATGGATATGTGTATATAAAATATTACATACACGAAATGTTACCTCTACGAAATATTTTCTTTACGAAATGTTACCAAAACGAAATGTTCCCTAGACAAAGTATACTATATGAAATGTTAACTAGAGAAAGTATTCTATACGAAATGTTACCTAGACAAAGTGTACTATATACGAAACGTTACCTAGACAAAGTGTACTATACGAAATGTTACTGTACGAAAATGTACTATACGAAATGTTACCTAGACTAAGTGTACTATACTAAATGTTACATAGACAAAGTGTACTATCGAAATGTTCCTGTACGAAGATGCCTAAACGCTAAACGTTACTGATCCCTCTAATCTAAGCCTTTATATTTGATCTGTTAAAAGTCGTGAAATTCGTATCCAGCCTGATTGAACACTTTTCTACAATTTAGGTTTCTCTCGACTGCAAATATTTCCTCACGGTTCAGTTCAGTTTTCCAAGCATCAAGGTTTTGTAGCTCTTGCTCAAAATCAGCCTGGAGTTTAGTCTTAGATCCTCCGTCCTCGGGAAACTCTACACTCTAGAAAAATATGCTTCTGGATACACGACAAGGTTTTGAGTTTAAACTAATATAGAAACCTTACTTTTTCAGTCTTAATCCAACATTATTTCTTCTAATCGTAAAGTCCAATTTACGACTTAGTTTAAAGTATCATTTCTCTCTTCGTTTTGAGAATTTGAGATACTTCGAGAGAAATACTAATTCTTTGCTTCACATTCCTTCTTCAGCATATCAGTAACAAAATAAACATAGAATTCAATGATTCATCACCTATCAAAATCTTTGCTTTACTGCCCATTCGGAGAGAGATTGCTTATAAAAATTCCGTCCTCCTCTTGCAAACGCTTTTTAGATACTGACAATATGCAGTTTGTTTCTTTTGCCACTGAATTAATTGCGAAGTCAAGTTTCGCTAAAGAATTCGTATATTTTCTCTAGGTCGGAAAAACCTTCGTTCAATTCGTAGGGGTAATTCTTTACATATTTCATGTATTATTTGAGATAAAACCTTAGAATATTGTTTTAAGATAATTTAAGGATTTTTTTTTAAATATGAAGACGCCAACGAATTATAAGTTGAAATAATCTTTAAAATAACTTTGTTTTGAATTATATCAAATCATCTTAGATTCTTTAATTGTGTAATCAGTTGCTCACGGGCTCTCTGAACAAGGCTCAGCTACATTTTGCCTTGTCACAATTTGCCTAGTCACATTTTGCCTAGTCACAACTTGCCTAGTTCACTTTTGCCTAGGTAACATTTTGCCTAGGTAACTTTTGCCTAGTTCAAGTTTGCCTAGTAACATTTTGCCTAGGGTAACATTTTGCCTAGGTAACGCAAGAGCATGTTTTTTGCCAATTGCTTTTTTATAACAAATTTTGTCAAAAATAACATCTGATGAAATTATAAGATTAAAATCCTATATTATGCATCTAGATGAAAGATGATTTTACAACATCTGATGAAATTATAAAATTAAAATCCTATATTATGCATATAGAGGAAAGATGATTTAACAACATCTGATAAAATTATAAAATTAAAATCCTATATCATGCATATAGAGGAAAGATGATTTAACAACATCTGATGAGATTATAAGATTAAAATTCTAGATTATGCATCTAGAGGAAAGATGATTTAACAACATCTGGTAAAATTATAAAATTAAAATCCTATATTATGCATCTAGATGAAAGATGATTTAACAACATCTGGTAAAATTATAAAATTAAAATCCTATATTATGCATATAGAGGAAAGATGATTTAACCACATCTGATGAAATTATAAGATTAAAATCCTAGATTATGCATCTAGAGGGAAGATGATTTAACAACATCTGATAAGATTAAAATTCTATATTTTGCATATAGAGGAAAGATGATTTAATCACATCTGATGAAATAGTAAGATTAAAATCCTATATCTACCTTGATCATATTCTCCATAGATTTTGTCCAGGGTATATTCAACGTGGAGAGAATTCCTCTCATTTCCTGAAAAGATCCTACTTCATATATTTATTAAACCATCTTTATGAAACGGACCAGAATAGTCAAACCTGACTCCAGGTCAGAAAACAACAGTAAAGATGTAAAAACTACCATAGGGAACGATCTAAATATGGGAGGAAGGGATATCATTTAGATAAGATATTGGTTTTTAAAGATAATAACTCTTCTATCAACTGTTATTGTAAGCTAAGAAAATAACAAAACAATCTAAAGCTTTACAGACATGAACAAGATTTAATAATTAAATGAACCTGCTCCTGCCCCTGATATAATAAACTATATTTAACTTGCTGAGGGTTTAAGAAAAGTAAAGATAGTTAGATTAGTAAAGATTAGATTTCTTTCTAATTTATGTAAAAATGACCTCAACACAGTTCTTGGCAGAAATTTATTTTCTATTGCAAATTATTGTTCTGTAAATCCTTTGGATCTTAGTAAAATGTTTGTTAAGAAACAAATAAAATATTTTGATGTCCCATTGGAACATGAATGAAAAGTTCCGGTTTTACAAGAACTTTTAAATACAAGAATGAATAATTTATATGTTGAAGGATTCGATGATTACGTAATAACTGAAATGATAAATATGTACGTTATGTAGTGAGTAAAAATCAATGTTTTCTATTTGTGCATAATTTTGCATATTTTTTCTCTTTTCTTTTGGAAACCTGTATTTTCCAAAAAAAATTTATTTAAACAAATTTAAACAACACCATTTATATATGTATTTATAACTTTGTGTGTGAATAAATCTGTATATATATAATATTCTCTTAAAAAATCTGTTATAAGGGAAGGAACCTTTTCATACAATTCTAAGACCAGGGCTGATATTATAAGCTAACAGAAAAATCTCAAGGTTTACGAATAGCACAGATTTAGTAGTTAAAAAAACCTGCTCCAGGTCTGAGAACACTATAACTGATATGATAACCCAACAAAACTATGTCAAGGTTTCCGAACAGCCCAGATTTATTAAGTAAACGAACCTGCTCCAGGCCTGAGAACACTACTGATATGATAACCCAACAAAACTATGTCAAGGTTTCCGAACAGCCCAGATTTATTAAGTAAACGAACCTGCTCCAGGTCTGAGAACAGATCCTCTTCCTTTACTAGATATGCTTGCAAGGTTGCAATTATTCTAGGGGATTCAAAGTCGGCTGAAATTTAATAATAAAATGTTTCAAATGTAGAAATTTGGGGTTTAAGATATGTGATTATGAATTATTATTTTTAAATAAATGATTGTTTAATGTAAACCTGTGTGTTCTAGATCTTCAGCTAGATGAGAACAGATTTGATCAACTGCTACTTTATAACTTCTTTTAGTGTATTGTCTTCGTAAAAATCAAAATTGTAAGTTTAGACCAGTGCAGTGCACTGGAAATCTCCATTTTAGAAAAACTAAGACATTACATCTAAGTTAAGTAAAAAAAGAAAAAATACACTTTTGATTTTAAAATTTTTATTATTAATTTATATAATGAAGTTTATCACGTTTAATGAATCTCACTGTGTATAGTATTCTACCTGACTACTCCGCTATTATCAACAAACTTCTTTAACCGTTTATATCCTGCCAACCTTGCTCTAGGATCTTGTATTAGGTAAATAGATTTCAACCTCCAGAACGGATTCTCATGCTAAAAATAATTCAATGAATACTAAATTTAAACATCTATTTCTGGATAGATCGCTCTGATTGTTCTGCCGGCCTGTTGGTTGAGGGAAAAAGCTTTTCTTCCAAAATATTATTTAATAAAATCCTTAATCAGTAATTATTTTTATAAATCCTTAATCAGTAATTATTTTTATAAAATCCTTAATCAGTAATTATTTTTATAAAATCCTTAATCAGTAATTATTTTTATAAAATCCTAAATCAGTAATTATTTTTATGAAATCCTAGTTCAGTAATTGTTTTTATAAAATCCTTAATCCGTACTTATTTTTAAAAAATCCTTAATCAGTAATTATTTTTATAAAATCCTTAATCAGAAATTATTTTTATAAAATCCTTAATCAGTAATTATTTTTATGAATCCTTAATCAGTAATTATTTTTATAAAATTCTTAATCAGTAATTATTTTTATAAAATGCTTAATCAGTAATTATTTTCATAAGATCATAATCAGAGACTGTCTCCTAATCCTCATATTTATACTCACCATATTCCTCTATATGGGTGGTTCACTTCAATTAAGTTGAAAGGATTAAGTCTTTGCCACAAACTCTGATTTTATAATTCCTTTATCTTTGCAAACCAATGTGGTAGACCTTAGATATTTCAAACTATAAATTCTGTCAATTAGTTTAAATTCAAATTTAAATCAGGTTGCAACGATATAGGGATTAGAAAACATGAGTTTGGTGCAAAAACTCAATTCCATTGATTTCAATCTTCAATCTTTCATTTGAAATGAAAATGTTTCTACATAACCAGAGTATATCTTTAATACCTGTAGAACTGCTACATCCCTTAATTTCAGCGTTGAGATTCTGATAAACTGATATTTAGGTTTAGAGCAGCGGTCAACTAGTACAGGTAGAGGATCAGCTATATAAACCTCCTCAATGTGGCCGCAGTGCTCGGCCCCCTAGCCTGTCCTAGTCGCAGCGCTCGGCCAAGAAAGTGTCTTAACCTAACCTAACCCAGAATAATAATAAATAAATACTAATTTACTGATTTCGTCATGTACAAAATTGATAGGAAGGGGGGGGGGTCCAAAAATCGTTTACTAGGACGGAGCCGAATAAATAAAAACTTTGTCTAGATAAGAATGATTCAAGAATTATAAAGATACCTTTTGATTCTTGAACGTAAGAAACAACAGGAAAGATTATGTTATACATTAATGGTATTTTAAACATTTTCGATCATTTCAGCAATTTTATTCCTACCTTGCTATTGGTTGTTATCAAAACAATTTTCTTTTGTTTTGAATTGTAGTGATTCTCATCAAACTTTGCTCCTTCATACTTACTCACCACCTTACTACTCGTAGTCTTCTCACTGAAATATAATTATAACTACTTGTAGACCTGGTCAAAGGTTTTAGGCGGGATTTTTACTTTTCAAGTCAATTTGCGAAAAATATAGAATTCCCAAATCAATGTTAAAATATCACATTTTTTACCCTTGACCAGGTACAAAGGATGATACTTCAGAGACGTACTTTTTTCGTTTTTTGCCAAATCATATAATAACCACATTCAATGCAGATAACTTGATTGTCGTATTACACGAGTTTCAGGTCGTCTTTACTGTCTCATCCTTTGTTGGTAACCCTAATATTTTTATTTTAATAAAAAACTATTTTCTCTCTCTAAGACAATTATATACAAGGGAAAATTAATGATTAAAATTTAGTCTGGACAATAAAATGTTCAGCTGGGACAATAAAGTTGTCCTGGATCAAAACCAGCCGGGGCAATAAAGTTTTCCTGGATCAAAACCAGCCGGGACAATAAAGTTGTCCTGGCTCAAAACCAGCCGGGACAATAAAGTTGTCCTGGCTCAAACCCAGCCGGGACAATAAAGTTGTCCTGGCTCAAAACCAGCCGGGACAATAAACTTGTCCTGGCTCAAAACCAGCCGGGACAATAAACTTGTCCTGGCTCAAAACCAGCCGGGACAATAAAGTTGTCCTGGCTCAAAACCAGCCGGGACAATAAAATGGAAAAATCTGAGTGATTGAGTCTGGATGAGGAAGGAAAATGATGTGATTACCAGGGATATAAAGCAGTTTACTGACCTGGAGGAAACCATGACTAGAATTAAAATAATTGTGAATCCAAAACCTCCCATGATATAAAATGTTTCAAGTCCCAGACTTGTCGCTAATCTTCTCAACATTCTTAGCTTTGCCATTCCAGCTAGATTCATGGGAAAATTATTCCATTTTAATTTTTTTGTTAAATTTTAAATTTATAATTTTTTTCCTGAAAGAAATTAAGTATTTGTCAGAAACTCTGATTTTCTAATCCCTATATCTTTGCCAACCAATGTCGAAAACCTTGAATATTCAAAACTACGAATTCTGTTAGATAAAATCATCTAAATTAGAAATATAAAAGGTTTACTCCATCAGGTTGCAAAAACATAGAGATCAGAAAATTTAATTTGAGTTTGTGGCAAAAACTCAATTCCTTAAAGTTGAGTTCTGCAGAGTATGGTGGATACTAAGAGTAAGATTTTTGTTTAGTATATAAACTAAACCTTGAGAAAGGTTTGGGTTGGAATTACTAGGGGAGACAATACTATCCTGAATAATAAATCAGTCACAAACTTTCTCAAACTTGTCTTACCGTTAAAAAAATCAAATATACATATTCAACCAAAAACAAATTTGATTATTGTACATCCATTGAAACATGTATTTAAACAAGTTCATAGCTTTCAAACTTTTATTATTTCTACTTATATCATGTATGTAATCTTTTAACGTCATAAATAATTAAATTAAAAAAGGTTAGGAGGCTTTTAGGTTTAATCTGTTAAAGAAATAATAGTTTATTGAAATATTTACAGAGTGAAAATATCTAATTAAATAATATAAAAGACTAGCTGAAGGGCCGTTGTTGCCCGTATAATATTTTAAAAAATTTCGATTCTTGAAAAAAATAGTGTTTTAAAGAAAAAAAATCGATTTAAAAAAAATTTGATTTTTAGCCTATATTACCCCCCAGGTACGCTAGGGTTCCCTCAAAAAAAAATCAGCCCAAAATAAAAAACACAAATATATAGATAAATAGATATTAGAGATGGGACCGTACTACCAAATCTTTACTTTCTTGAAACAACTTAGAACTGTCATGCAAAATTTTAAAAGAAAAACGAATAGTTTAAAATAATATAATTTTTATTCGTAAAATTGTCTATATGGATTTAGCTCCTGTTAAGAATCTGATGTCCATGGAAGAAATCCGTATTGGAGTTCCTCTGTTCCTAGGATAGGGTTGAGAAATGTCTCCGTCCTCGCAAATGAAAGTGACCTCCTGCGGTTGTCCGTCCACGAGATCTCCGTAGGTAACTGATCTCTGCTGGGTGAGGACGGAGAGTGGAGGAAGGAAATCATCGTCTGCGTCCTGAATAGAGTTCTTCCTACTCGGGAGTTCAAGATTATCAGTATCCGGAGTAGTTTCAGGACCTGGAGCTTGTTTTCCAGGTTTAGGAGTTCTTAGAAGGGGAAGAAGAGATAAAATAAGACAACCTGAAATAAATGAAAACTTAATGATTAAGATTATTTGAAAGGAATTGTGTCTTTGCCACAAACTCTGATTTTTTAATCCCTATATCTTTGCAACCCAATTTCGTACACCTTAGTTATTTCAAACTATAAATTCTGTTAGATTAAATAGTTAAAATTTTAAATCTCATGGATCTACTCCATCAGGTTGCAAAGATATGGGGATTAGACAATTTGAGTTTGTGACAAAGACTCAAAAAGTAATCATTTCCTTTCTAAAGGAAATAAATACTCGCCTTAAACTCTCATTTTCTAATCCTCATGCATTTGCAACATACGGCTGCAAAGATTAAAGGATTAAAGAATTGTAGTATGAGAGGAGTAATCAGTTCCTGTATCCTCACCTAGTAGAATGGAGAAACTACTGAAAAGGTAGCCCAGGTTATATCCGTAATCTTCACTATAAAAACCAAAATCTTTATTGTATTCTAATTTTTCAGTTTTAATTTGTTTTCTCCTAAGTCCAACCTGATTAATCTATTGATGAGTATCCCTACCGGAGTAGGTCCGGCTTGAACTAGGTTCAACAATGAAGACGACCACAACAGGTTCTTTGCTTTCATTCGGTCATAAACTAACATTCTGAGAATATATTTTTCGATTAATTATACTCTGTTATCGTTAAATGTTTGTTTTCTTTGTTGTGTTTATTCTCATAAAACTCTCATTTTATATATTTCTTTTCTTCTCTCTCTCTATATTACGTTTTTAAACCTGAATACGAATGTATGAGCTCCAAAGGGAATTCCATAGATCCAGACGAACACGGTCAACACAGGTTTAGATCCATCTTTACAATATTATCTTTCATTATGGTTGTTTTGTTAAATCAAGAAAACTCACATTTTTGTGAATTTTAAGCCCATTAAAGTATAGAAATAGAAAGAGGACAATTATATATTTTTGATGTTGTTGTAAACCAAATAGTTTTTCAACTTAAAAATTAATTTATTGAACTGGACCTGCGTTCACTTGTTCAATTGTTGTGTTCATTGTCCCTTATACTATTTATAACTCAAGTACAACAGTCGTCTTCTTATTTCATAGTTTGTTTGGGTCCCGACCCAACCCACTGCTGGATGAACAAGCAAAGTCATGAAAGTATAATAGAACCTAGAACTGGAATAAGCATTGATACTCCAATCATCAGAAGAAACATCTTAGTGAGGAAAAATTTCTTAAATCTGAAAAAAAATCTATAATCTGATCTTGCATGAAATATACAATATATACTCTAATTGTTGTATGGTAATTTGACTGTATATATAAATTTAAGACAAAGCCTATAAAGATTTTTATCTGGTTGAAAATGATAAACTAGATTAAAAAGTAACCTGTAGTGTACCAGCGTAAAACCAAGGATGGATCCTACTCCTATCCCGAGTCCTAGTTGTAACTCCAACCCTACATCTCCGGTCTGTGCTGGGATTAGGAAGATCGGAGAGAGGATTCCTAGACTAGATACTAAGCTTGAGAAGGCAAACACTTTGAAGGAACGGGTTCGAGCACATGTGAAGTCGAACACTGGAGCCTGGACTAATATTTTGATTTTATTAACCCTATGCTGTTAGAAAACACAAACAAACCCACAATTTTGCTGGAAAAAGTATTAGAGAATTTTGGACTTCCCTATCTTTTGTTGCTAATGTTATTGGCTCAAAACCTCTGAAGGACTTGTAATTATGAAAATTAAGATAAAAGATTTCCTTGATTTCTTGGTGTTTCGGAGCTCCGCCTTTTTTACACTGAAAAAATTAGCAAATCAGATTGAAAACAATTTTTTTTAATTAGATTTTTATGTTCTATTTCTTGGACCTTAATCTTCCTCTTTTGGTTCTTGAGATGCAAGATTGCTCTTCTTTGCGGATGATACAGTGAGGCAGATCGATAGAACATTCCAGCAATAGAAACCAGGACCAGTAGGATAGAACAGGACTTTAACAGAAGATTTGGTTTAGAAACCAGGACTAGTACGATAGAACATTGGTTTAGAAAGAAAGACTAGCAGGGTAGAACAGGACTTTGATAGAAGATTAAGTTTAGAAACCAGGACTAGTTAGGATAGAACAGGACTTTAACAGAAGATTTGGTTTAGAAACCAGGACCAATAAGATAGAACAGTTCTTTAACAGAAGGTTTAGTTTAGAAACCAAGACTAGTAGGATAGAACAGGACTTTAACAGAAGATTTTGTTTAGAAACCAGGATTAGTACGATGGACCAGTTCTTTAACCGAAGATTTAGTTTAGAAACCAGGATTAGTACGATGGAACATTGGTTTAAAAACAAAGACTAGCAGGGTAGAACAGGACTTTGATAGAAGATTTGGTTTCATATTTCATATTTTTCATATTTTTATTCAACTACAAAGCACGAGATAATACATATTAAAAATCACAGTTTACTATGTAGTTTGGACCCGCCTAACCAGAGTAGGTTGTTTTTATTGGTTGGCCCACTATAAACGAATGAGAATTGCAGATAAAAACAATGTACATTGTACATTTTAAACATAAAAATGATGATAAATTAGGAAAGAGGTAAGGAGGAGGTGAGGGAGTATAAGGGAAAGGGAGGATACTCAGCGTAAGGGTTGGAACAGAGGGTAACATAAGTTATTAGAATCATGTTTATGAACTACAGGGTGAAGAAGATAGTAAAGACTAAGTTTATCCACATGATACACAGTTTTTTTTTTTAAGATATAATTTGCATAACTATCTAAATAGATCTTGGCGACTTTTCTTTTAAACGATTTTGCAGATTTAGTTTCTTTAAGCTCTAATTCAATAGAATTCCATATTTTTGGAAATAAGGCAGAGGGAAAACTTTCTAGGGTTTTAAAGAGAACTCGCTCAAGTTTATATGATTTTGTTCTATTTGGTTCAGCTAAAGAATTAAACATATCCTGGAAGGAAGCTGGAAGGTTTTCATAAAAGTATTTATGCATAAAAGATAGAACACCTAGTTTATATGTATCATCAAGATTTAGGAGTTCTAATCTGAAAAATATTCGATCTGAATGTGCCTTAAATGAACTATTATTTACTGCTCTAATTGCCCTTTTTTGCAAAGACTTGATTTTCTGTAGTTTAGCATTTTTTACGCCTTACAAGTGCATTATAGACTAGTAGACGAATGTTTAACGGTAAAATGTTTTTAATCTGATTCAAAGCAAAAATTGAGCTAGCAAGCAAAAATTGAGCTAGCTTAGAAACCAGGACTAGTAGGATAGAACATTGGTTTAGAAACAAAGACTAGCAGGATAGAACAGGACTTTAATAGAAGATTTAGTTTAGAAACCATGGACCAGTAGGATAGAAGGAGAGAGTTAGAAGTTTAAAAAGATAAAGTTTGAATCGGTTCTTTTCGAGATATTTTCTACTAGAGTCTAAAATAACCTGTATTTCATCTTTATATTGTTAGAAGTGTATAATAAGATAAGATAACCTGGAAACATCTCCTCCATCCAAACTTGATGAGGAGCTGGTTTAAACTCCAAGGAACTACACCAATCCCTACCATCAAGTAAGTCTGGTCAAGGTAATCACATGGCATTTAAAAAAAGGATAATAAACATAGAGAAACTTATAGATTTCTCACCTAGAAAAAATATAAATGACATAAAACAAAGTGGTTCCTTTAACCTGCCTAATTCTATAACCCAAACCTACCTCCTCCAGTCCCAATGATTATCACTGCCTCCACCATCCCTCTCTTCTTCTTGAAGTACTGCCCCAGCATTGATGGTCCTGCACACTGCACCATAGAGTATCCAACCCCAACAAAGATGGCATGACTAGAATCAACAGATACATAGAATATGAATCTCAAACAATGTCTACTCACTACACTTCGGAAATTGTTCAAATAAACTAAAATTTTAATCCCTTAGTTAAAGAATTACAAGGTTTGCAAAGATAAGGGCATTAGAAAACCAACCAGCGTAGGTTTAAATCAGGCAGACCACATTTAAAAATCTGCTAATTAGATAGATATTATTCACCTGATAAGAACCTGATGATATTCTCTAGCAAATGAATTAAAAAGAGTTCCTAGTGAGAGAACTATTCCTCCAAGAACTGCGCAGAGTCGGGATGATTTATGTTTACAGAAGCTGGTGACTAGAGGAGATATAAGGTAGGATACAGTGAGGGGTGAGACCCAGAGGAGCAGAACCTTATACTGGGATGGTCTGTACAACCAGATCGTAGCTTTAGTAAGAATCCCTGCTCCAAAGACGAGTCCCTGTGAGTAGTAATGTGTATTAAATTGGTGCGTATTTGGTTCTTTTTTGCCTATATCTACTTTAGGGTCAAATTTTGCATAGTGCAACTAAAGCAAATTTTGCATAGTGCAACTAAAGCAAATTTTGCATAGTGCAACTAAAGCAAATTTTGCATAGTGAAACTAGAGCAAATGTTTTAAAATTGTTTATTTGAAACATTTGTTTTTCTCATACTAAAGCCAATTACAGAAAATATATGCAAAAAACGAACCAAAAACGATGCAAAACAAACGTGTTAGAACGATCGTTTTTGGATCGTTTTTCAAATTTTCTTAGTTTAATGAAAGCAAACTTTGACAGAATACAGTTTTGATCTCTTGTAAGTTTTATTAAAAATTTCCAAAAAAAACTAACCAAACCGATTAACGACACTACCTGTGAGAGAATGGTTACGATGATGAATGAGAAGAGAACTATATATCCCCAACCTCCCTCCGGGTAGTATTGTCTGAAGAGAACAGATCCTTGTATTCTACCCCGTAGCAACCAATCACCAGCCTCAATCCTACAAAACCATTAAACATGGAAAATACCTTTCACCAAGAAAATAGAAATAAAATTATCAAAAGTTCTCTCTAACCACTGATTTTAAAAGAATTTTTTACCTTTTATAAAACACATAAAATATCTGGTGGTCAATAATGGATTCTGATGTTTTATCAGGTAAAATATTTCTTTAAACTTCAATTAACAATAGGAATTAATTATAAATATTTTCAGGAATATTGATTGGGAAATAAATACGCTATAAAGTCACTTCGTTGCTTTTCTTTAATCACGTATAAATGGTATTTTGAATCTATGCCATTAGCTTGGATTATGCACTGTTTGCATAGCAACAGTTTTGCAACTTTCGTAAGAGACCTTTTCTGAACTCTAGTCTAACACTACCTTCTCCGGCTGAGCAGAGATTGACAAATATCAACCTTTCTCCGGGTTACAGGCCAACCTTCAGGGGTTCGTTTTAATCTGCAGCTCCGGCACAAATCCGAGCCTAGAGATTTTTAGATTAAAATTGCAGCTAAACATTACTGCAGCTTCAAGATGTTCCTGACTCCTGTGAGCAAGAATGTCCCAAACTCTCTGTAAAATGTTTATTCAGAATCCCGCCTGTATCGTGCATTTCGCGGTTTAAAAAAAACAACATTTTAAGCCATGCAATTCATAAAAAATATTAAGTAATTAAGTCTTTGCCACCAACTCTGATTCTAAAATCTCTAAATCTGTTCAGCCCAATATTGTAGACCTTAGTTATTTCAAAATATAATTTCTGTTAGCTAAAATAATCTAAGTTTAAAATATCAAAGGTTTACACTATTCGGTTGCAAAGATCTAGGAATTAGAACATTTGAGTTTGTGGCAAGGACTTAATACCTTTAAACTAACTTCTAAAAAACTGGTTAAATTTCGTTCCAGTTCAATGTGCTTTAAGTCCTCATTTGCAAGGAATACACCTGTTTTGTGTGACAACTTAAATATCTGCATTTCTGGCAAAAATACATATTTTACACTTCAATACAAATTTCTATGAACTTATTTATCATTAGTTTTGCATTTGGCATTATTTCATATCAATAAATGTTCGTAAATCTAGCTAATCTAGAAAAATACGAAAAATAAAAAGCTTGATTACACAAAAACGCGATGGAAAGGAATTGAGTTTTTGCCCCAAACTCAAATTTTCCAATCCCTATATCTTTGCAACCTGGAGCCTTTACATACTTTAAACTTGGACTATTTGATCTAACAGAATTCATGTCTTGAATTATCAAGAGGATACAACTTCTGGTTGCAAAGATAAGATATTTATGGATTAGAGAATCATAGTTTGTGTTAAAAACTCAGTTCCTTGTTCAAGTTTAGTTATTTCTTAGCCTAGGGAACATCGCGGTAAGACAGACTTAGTAATGTTCCTAATCCCAAATATTTAGAATTACGAGTATTTTGAAATGTAAGTGAACAATCCCTTTAAGATCCAGGTCATAGAGAAAACCTTTATTTTCTTGATAAAAGTTAATTTGATAAATGTGAAATTTATTTTGACATTACGATCAAGATCTCGCTCATCTAGATTTCTTGAAATTCATTCATTATTTCTCTTATCTTGAAGGAAAGTTTGGTAACAAACCCCAATATTTTGTGGAGAGGAGCTGAGTTTCTAATCGCTATATCTTTGCAACCCGATGAGGTAAACCTTTGATATTTCAAATTGTAAATTATGCAGTTAGATTTTATAGTATGAGTCTGAAATATCAACGGTTACAACGATGTAAGGATTAGAAAATTTGATTTTGTGACAGGAACAAGATTCATTATTGAACCGAAATATGTGTTTAAAATGTACTTTTTAGGAGAATAAAATTATTTTTTAATAAGGAATAAGGTTTCATTGCCATAGAAAAGTACTGTTCAAAACTTCATTGTTAATTGAATAATGAACATTTGAAATCATAAAAAGTTCTTAAAATCTTTCTTTAAAAAATTAACAAAGATATGCTTAAACAGCAATAAAAAAGTTCAAAGTTTAATTATTTAAATTTAAAGGGTTATTTAGAGTAGAGGGGTTGGGGTGCTTTGACATATTATATTTAAAGACACCTTTGCTCCTGGATTCATCTAGATTATAAAATATTCCCTCTTGAGGTTCAATATATACTGCAGAGTGGGAGCATTCGTCCGGCTCCAGGTGTGGAGAACCCTGTTCTTCTATATCTCCAGGTACTCCACCTTCCTGGCCAGGATCCTGAACAGGCCCGGATAAGCAAGTTTCGTAAACATGTTTTTAGTGATGGGACTAAACCACTCAGTCTAGTGTCACTTTTCCTATTCAGTCTAGAGAATATGATAACATGGATCCATGAGTCGATTATTAGAAAATTTATGTGGAGAACTGCTCAATGACTGGTCAAACAATCTGAAATCTAATTAGAAATCAGGAGAAACAATGGGTTATGGAAACCATGTCAGAGAAATTAAATTATATATTTAGGATGTGGATCAAGATTTTCTATTATAAATAAACATTAATACATCAAGATTTGAAATAAACATTAATACATTCGAATTACATTTTTTATCAAACAATCAATTTTTAATCAAATCAGATGCGTTAGTGTTGACAAAAAAATAAATGGTTAGCTCCATCATAACGATTGTTAACTTCTTCAGCGATTTAGAACGAATAACGATTGATCATATTAGCCATTCCTCTCACTAAAACGAAATGAACCTCGACTGCATCTTTTTGTAGCAAAAACAACGAGGACGCTGTATAGAAAAGTCGCGCGCTAAGGTTGTCATGTCTAGAGATAAAGCAAAAGTCGGAAGTTAAAATCATGAAGATCCCCGTTGCAAATAATGCATTGCATTAAATCAAATCTTTAGAACTAGGGAGTTAAGCCTGGTTGAGATTTTGCATTGTGTGTCCTTTGTAACCGGAAAGTTAATCCTGGTTGAGATAGCCTGTGTGGCATTGAGAATAGAAGAGATAGTCCTGGTGGATCTTGGTATTGAGTGTACCTGGATAGATACATTTAGAGCAAAATTGTTATGGAGTAGGTATTTGCTACAAAACTATAAAACTCATTAGAAGTTTCGTACGCGAAATTGTTTTAAAAATTCTCATTTCTTTTATACATAAATTATAAGATTGAAATGGTAAAACTTTTTTTTAAAGTGTTTGTTATTGATGCTTTTTCTTACAGAAGTTATTAGAACAGTGCTTCTAATAGCGTTAAATGACTCTTTGCACTCAATCCCCGATATTCACAATAGCATACCCTGTAAACAAATTTATTTAGAATTATGTTTAACTTCGCAGCCTTTTGCGAACCCTCATGAAGATCTAAAAATCTTTAATCTTTAAAAATGGACGAGAAATTTTGATTTTGATACAGGTCAGTCTGAAGAATATATAAATAGTAAAATATTTTTGAAACAATGATTGACTTTATCCACAATCATTCTCGTAGTATTTATATATCTATAGATTTTCAGCACCGAAATGGTAAAACCTGCGCTGTGGGTAAAACAAGAACCATCTCTCCTAGATACGGAAGAGAGCTTGATCTGCGATCACTGGTGATCATTTTCTGTATATTCTCTCAAGATTAAGTTTACTGTTTACTCCGATATGTTTCAGTCCTGAAAGATTAGCGGAGAATGAACCCGGTATTCCCTGTCCGTGTCCTCAGGTTTATTCTGGTTCCAATCTCTTCAAGAAACCCATTTCTTACAATCCTCACGGGAATATTGAAGTAACTCGAAAATTGTAATTTTTCTGTTTTGTCACACAAACATTGAAAAATACACAAAAACAATCAAATACACAAGCAAATGGGATATCTCTGACTGAATATTGATATTTTGATCTTAATTAAGATTAAACTTTTGACGAACATAAAATATGTGAATCTATGTATTTTGCTTAAGCTTGTTGGTTTCGTATTCAATAAACGCCAAAACGGCTAAACTCGGGCCAAACTTTTTTTAGTGGCATCTTATATATGACCCAAGGAAAGGTTTATGGAAGGTCGAAATTGAAGAATTTTGCCTAGAAAAATGTAAATTTTAAAATCTTTGTAAATCCTTAAATAAAAACTGAACAATTTTTTAGTTTTACGCTGAACAAACCAATTGTCTAATATATACAACATACATTTTCATTATTTTATTTGTTTGTTTGAATCCAATAAACTTGGAAACAGTTTAACCGATCGATCCCGTGTTTGCGAAACAGCTCCAGGGGTGACTTATGCATTGTCAAGATTAAAAAGCTTAAAAGTTTCATAAAAATCTATCTATATAATAGCTCTTTGCTCATTTATATCTATTTGTTATATGTTAGCTGAAGCTGGCCAAACGGCTGGACCGAATTGGCTGAATTTTTTAGAGAACCTTTAAGTACCCCGGGGTAACATAGTCTAAAAAAATCTAAAAATTGTTTCTTAAAAATTCAATTTTTATTTTTAAAATTCAAAATTTTTTTTTCAAAATTCAAATTTTTTTTTTAACTATCTTTAAAATTTCACGGGCAACGCCGAGCACTTCAGCTAGTTGATAAATAAAAGTAATAACAAAAAATTCACGAAAAATATCTGAATCAAAATATTGCCGAATAATTACAAAGATCGTAAAATGGAACTTTTTATGCAAACAATTTAGTCATGTCAAAATATATATAATTTAAAATATTGAGATGTGATTATAATATTGATAATGCTTATAAGGCATGAAACATGATGAATCTTTATGATTTACGGCGTTGGACGCTTTTTCTCCATCAGTGATCAGTTCATGGATGCCAGGAATATGAAATGAATCTGAAAACCATGGAAACATGGAGTTTCTTGTCCTTACTGACCTACTCCTTACTGACGTATTCAGATTGATGAACTCATTTTTGTTCAAATAGAAAATAAAAATTCAGCGCGGAGAGCAAAGAAAAAAAAATTATAAAAACTTTTTAATAAAATTTTGTCAGAAAGGCAAAAGTTAAAGTTATTTTAGAATATAAAAAAAGTTGACAATTTATAATAAAAAAGTTGACAATCATCTATATATAAATTTGGCTTGTCTGTCTGTTTGTTTGTTTGTATCCAATAAACGTCAAAACGGCTGAACCGATCGGGCCCAAATTTTTTGTGGGACCTCACGGAGCCCCAGGGAAGGTTTATGAATGATCAAAATTTCAAATATTTGTCTCCATCAAAATTCGATCTTCATTAAATTTTTGAAAATTTTGAAAATCCACGACATTTTTGTGAAAATCCGCGAATTATTTTTGTTTTGTTTTACGATGTACACAAAGAGAACATGTTCACAATTAATTTAGAAGATGGGCGCGAAGCGCCCTCTAAGGCTAGTATAATAAAAAAGTTGACAATATATATTAAAAAAGTTGACGATATTTAAAAAAACCGAATTGTCCCTTGTTACGAAAAGCAGGAGGAAAGTTTCTCACGAAGCTTTTAAAGACAAAGATTTAAATATTACAAATAATTAATCAAAGAACTAGGCATTTTATAATCTTTAGAAGATAAGAGAACCAGAGAAAAAAGTACCAGAGGAGAAACAAATACCAAATTCATAAAAAATATTTTAATTAAACTTTAAAACTACAAAAGTAGTAAACTAGTAAGGTAGTCTACTAGTAAACTCGCAAACTATTAAACTATTAAACTATTAAACAGAAGCTAGTAACTTTGTGGAGCTATCAACTCTGCTGAACTATTAATGTTGCGGAGCTGTTAGCTGTTAGCTATTAACTCTGCGGAGCTATTAATTCTGCGGAGCTATGTATTTAGTTTAGCTATGCAGAATTATATGTATCCTTGCTTGTATATATTAATATAAATATCTATAACTAGCTATTGATAGCTGAATATACTTATCAGGCTATATTATGTTAATAGTCTGAGTTATGAATCAATATAAACTTGGGAGCTGCACTTAACCTAAGGTAGAAGATTATATTTGTATATAAGTCTTTCTACTTGTAAGGTTCTTTGTGCACTCCGTTTCTTTTTGCTTTGATTCATTATATAGAGCGCTGGCAGCATGTTCTAAATATATATGTCTATATATAAATATATACATGAATCCTAATTGGTATTCCTAATCCGTTCTAGATTACAACAATATTCACTTTTTAAAGAATGTGTTAAGAAAATTATTATTCCTTGAGATTGTTTCTGTCATGAAGATTAAAAACACACTGGTTAGTTTATATGGCGTATGTATAGTGTATAAAGGTGTGGTGGGGGTTGATCAGATCTAATTAACGAACTTTAAATCAGGAGGGGTATTTAAACCTTTTTAAGAATTTATAATAAACATTACTCTTTTTTTTAAATACTGAATTACAGTTTACAATTAAAAAAAACTATTTTTTTCTGTTTATTCTTGTAAGTTCAGTCATAAAATCTCTGATGTATTTAGATTCTCGTACTTCAAATAACCTTCTCCTGAGGTCCCAAACCTTCTCTAGAACGCTAACTTTTAGACAGTAGAGTTCATGTCCAGGAAGGTTAAAATGTTCTCCTGTTATAGGCTAGTTTGTTTGCAGATTTCTAATGTAACCAATATGTTCTTTCACTCTTTCATCTAAAGATCTTGTTGGCTGTCCTATATATTGTAGTTTACACTTCTCAGTTACATGTAATACAGTGAACAACATTTCTGGTCTTACAGTTGAAAGTTCCATTAATCTGAATCTTTTCACTGGTATTAGAGGATTGTATAACTGTTCCAGGCTCTAATACTAGTAAACTCTATATCAATGAAACTATTAAACTATGGAACTTTTTAACAATTTAACAATNACTATTAAACTATTAAAATATGAAACTACTAATCTATTAAACTATTAAACTATTAAACTATTAAACTATTAATCTATTAAACTACTTATCTATTAAACTATTAATCTATTAAACTATTAAACTATTACTTATTTGGTTAATTTGAGGGTTAACCAAATAGCCTATAAGCTATTCATTGGTATGATACCTTTGCATTCACACTATTTGTATATTTTCAAAATATAACTTAATCTTATTTTTAAACATTTGACGGTTTGCTACGTTTTCTCTACTTCCCCCAAAATCCCCGTGATTTATTGAAGCTTTGGAATCTCGGAACCGGTTTGTCTGAGAAAGAAAGTCGTCTTTGCATATATGTGTTAATGTCATTGACATATGATAATTTTAGATTTTATTGGGCTGCTGTTACAGAAAAAAAACGTTTAATTAGTGTCTATGCAAAGGTATCACATTCACACCTTTCCGCTGGAATTCTAAAAATTAAATCGGTTTTTTTCTCCGGTAGTAGTTGAAAGACTAATACCAATGAATAGCGCAATATGCTTATTAGTTTACCATGAAATTACCCAAATAAGTGAACGGTCCCTTTAAACTAACGGCCCAAAAAACTGTTTAATGAAAATAAGAATATTTCAGCAATCTTATTAGTATTTGATGCTGTTAAAAAGCAATTAATATTACCAATTGATTGAAAACCAACTTATTAAGTGAAATGGATCTGTGTCAACTAAACAATTCATTTATTTCATGTTCTTTGAACTATCTAAAGTCATAACTTGAGTCAAACAGTCGTCTTCATATTCCAGAGTTTAATGGTTCTCAAAGATATGAAGATGAATATATTCCTATAGTTAAACAATAAGAATAAATCTTGCGACGATAAAAAAGCGAGGTTTTAAGATAAATCTCTCAACAGTCTCATGACTGGAGGCCGTCCTTGAAACCATGAACGGAGGTTGGTTGGCCTCTTTAGTCTCAGTCTCATGACTGTATCATGAGTTCTAAGAGATATTCTCTTTTATATCCATTCATGGTTGAAACACTTTCTTCTATTCATAATTTAGAACACAATTTTGGTTTTAACATTTTATAGAGATTGTGAAATAAGTAATTTAAAGGATTTAAAGTGATCTCACAGCTTCAATGATTCATTGTATAACACTACTACTCTTTAACCTTTAATTAAAAACAATTACCTGTAAAACCCATAATATTGTGGAATAATAAGACGACTTTTAAGCAATCTTTTGTATATTTATTGTTGTTATAAAGCAAATTGTTTTACCAAATATAAAATTTTTCAGTGAATTTGTTCTGTGAACACTGCACAATTGCCGTGTTTTATGCCCATTTGAACAAATTGAAATCATAGTGGTCAACCTTTTCCTCATTTGTATGGGCCCAAACTCCCACTGCAGAAAGCTTGTTTTTTTACGTGGTATGGAAAAGAGCCATTTGGCCAAATAATAAATGATAAAAAATCTGACTTATATTTCTTGAAGAAATATTGCATATTGGTGATACTTTTAGCGCTTTATGCATTTTGCATTTGCAAGAGGAGATATTATTGCATGTTATTATGATAGTAATAGTATGGAAAATGTTGCACTAAAAAGTATGAGAGATAAATGTTGTTGCTGTAAGGAGTATTAGAGGAATCAGAGTATGGATCTAAAAAGTATAGGAGTATGGATCTTTAAAAAATATAAGAGATACATATTGTTGCTCTAAGGAGTATGAGATTATGAAAGAGTATGAAAAATAAATATTGTTGCTCTAAGGAGAATGAGAATATGGATCTCTGAAGAGTATATAACAGATAAATTTTGTTGCTCTAAGGAGAATGAGAATATGAATCACTGAAGAGTATGAGAGATTAATATTGTTGCCCCAATTGGAGTATGAGAATATGCATGATCTCTAAAGAGTATGAGAATATGGATCTCTTAAGAGTGTAGGAGATAAATATTGTTGCACTAAGGAGATAAAGAATCTGAAACTCTAAGGGAGTATGAAAGTATGAATCTCTAATGAGTTTGAAATATTGTTGCTCAAAGGAGTATGAGAATATGAATCTCTAAAGAGTATGAGAGATTAATATTGTTGCTCTAAGGAGTATGAGAATATAGATCTCTAAAGAGTATGAGAGATTAATATTGTTGCTCTAAGGAGAATGACAGTATGNGTTCAGAACTTTTTTTACATTAAATGTTTACAATAGCCTTTAGCCTTGAGAATTGAGAAAGATAAAAATATTCTTTTTAAAACTAACTATTGTGTAATAAAATTTCTACAATAACTCTATTGGTTTTCTTATTCCTGTGATACTGATTTTCGCCATTCTTTCTTTCTTTTCATTCTGCAGGGGGGGGGCGCCCCCCCTCTCAGGTGCTAGGGGAGGGCGCGCGCCCGGCCACCCCCCCCTAGTTGCGCCTATGCCTGTATCCGCCCCTGTATGCATGGTGCCTTAGTTATTGTGGAAAAATGACTATACTGCAGTAGAAACCAGAAAACAATTATAATGTTGTCATCTTTCTTTCTATATATATCTTGGGAAATATGACTAATACATGGATTTTTTTGAGACTGAATACTAATTTATTTCTAAAAAATGTGCACGAACTTACTGCAAAATCATGCTCATTGCTTTATCAATTTAGTTCCATAGCTAACATAATGAATGAACTTTATGACATCAAGACTACATCTGATGATCTGTCCTAGATTTTACTCAGGTATACCAGGTGAATCCTGCTGGATTAGGAACTAGAAAAACACACTCAACACACCCGTTGGCAAAAATAATTTCCATAATTTTCTCTGACCTGTTACACGTAAGTTTGTGTGTCCGTGAGAGTGTGTGTTTGCAGTTTTATGTCTGCTAGGAGAAAGCTGCACGGTCTTGCACTCAGCTGGTTGGAGCACCAGGGCGCAGGAATTCTCAAACCGATTCCCGAACCGGCCGGGACAAAACTCAGTCAGTCTGAGTCCGACTTTACTTAGGTCTTGATCTGGATTCAGGAGAGATACGTGCATTAAAACTTGAGAAATTATCCGGACGCTTACTGTACGAGTTGTACTGTGTCTTCAGTATTTAATTATCTCGGAGAACATGAAACTTGAACTCTAACGTGACAATTTACAGAAACAATGTCTGCGCGAGCTATCTCTGAAGCTAGTGGTAAACGACTTCTCAATGAGCAACTTGGAGTAGAAACTGGAGCTGGAACTTGCAGGTTTAATATCACAAGTTTACAGATTTGCACCATGACGTTCATAGATCAATTTTAAATGACAACAATGTAATCCTAAGACAATCCTATAACCACGGTCATTAAAATGCACAATGTATATTGTATATGTACTTTAGGTACAATTGGGATTGGGTCTGTGTCTTAAATTGAGACTTTTTGGACAGGGTGGAAGGCCGGGCTTGTTTACTAACTGTGGTTTAGGAGCTGTTGAAATATTTTAGAGTAAACTGTACATGAACCATATATCTCATACCTTTCTTACATATGACCTATATTTTTGAAACTTCTGAAATTTGGCAGTGTATCTTAAGAAAATCAATATAAACCGACTAATTTGAAAAGAAAAAAACGAGATGACAGCGTTAAAAGTAAGAAATATCTGTAGGTTTGCTGCCTTTGAGTCCGGAGACAGTTGGGAGAAGATTGAGAATGCATACCCATGGCTGAAAACGGAGGTAAGTAAGAATTCTCAGAATTGTGGATTTGATATAGAACTATTAGCTTGAAGAAACACATATTTGGGGGCGGGGAGTGGTGGGGATTTTTTCTTTTTTTGCTTTTCTCTTAAAAAAAATGCTTCTTTTGGTCTGTACTGTTCATTTCATTAGAATGTATATTTTTGTACTCCTTGGTTCCTGGAGTTCTCTGAACCATTAAAGATCAGATTCTGTAAAGTGCACTGTATAGTTCAAATGTTAAACTGATATTTATCCTAAGTTCAACTTCTCATTTCTATATAATCTTGCAACCTAAGGAGTATGAGAATATGAATCTCTAAAGAGTATGAGAGATTAATATTGTTGCTCTAAGGAGAATGACAGTATGAATCTCTAAAGAGTGTAAGATATTAATATTGTTACTCAAGGNCGGTGGTCGAAGGCTTCATGTTTTGTATAGCATTAGTTCCCAATTTTAAATGTCGATGAATTTTATAAATCTACTGCAATAATGTTGCTTTATCTTGTGCAAACATTGATTTTATAAGTTAGTAAATCATACGATTCATGTTAGGATGGCTTCAAATTTAAAGTAAATGACTGGAAAGGTTTTATTAACGGGTTTTTTTTAACTTACTAGCTGAAGAGCCTTGCGTTGCCCGAAGAAAATTTTTTGAAAAGAAATGTTGAAAAAAATGTTGAAAAAAAATATAAAAAAATTCTAATTTTTTAGCCCCTGAGTGTCCACAAAAAGTTTCAACCCATTCGGTCCAGCCGTTTGGCCGGCTATAGGCAACATATATATATTCGAATGTCTTGTTTTGATAATAGATAATTACTTTTAACTTGGCATTTAGTTTTCAATGATTTTTTAATATTTATTGAATTACTAACTTTTCAGAAATTAGTTGTTAAACCCGACCAGCTGATCAAGAGACGGGGTAAGCTTGGTCTCATCAAGGTCAATGTGGACTTGGAGACGGTCAAATCATGGATCTCAGAGAGAATGGATCAGGAGCAGAAAGTAAGTTGTACACTGTTTATCTCTGCAATATGTATTCTAAATTGCACTGATTGAGAATGATTTCATGATACCCTCCCCCCCATCCTCTCCCTCCCCCCAACTTTAATTCTTATGATTTCTGACTGCAGTGCTCGGGCCCCTTCCCTGTACTTGTCTAGGAATATGTTGGCTAAATATCTATTTAGTTACAAGGCACAAAAAGTCATTCTTTTCTAGGGTTTAGTTCAACAGATTTTTATTTCATGTTTTCTTCATGATTTAAATTAACTCTATCACCTGTTGAGCAATTAATTTTTAAAGTTTTTATTTAAATCTGTTGAAATATTAACTGTTTCTTAAATAAACGCATTTCTCAATTTACTCTTAATTGAGTTTAGTATTAAAATATGTTTACGTCATTTTAAAAATCATTATCATTGAAATCGACTCATTTTAGGATCAGAAATAGTTAGGTTTACGGAGTGTTAAAGTATTTTATTAGATTTCGATTTTACAAATGAAATGTTAGAAATGCATACAAATTTGGGAAGTGAATAAATACTGTCGAAAATCATGCTATTTTACTACCTTTGTAAAAATATTTTTCATGTGCAAACTTTGCGTAGGGCTGGGAGTGGGTCTAAATTCTGTTTCTTGAGCTTACATCCAATAAAATGTTTAGTTTACCTTCGAATTGATCTGCCCAATTTCTTAGTCGTGCTACCATAAGTAGAACCATAATCACACAATGGTTACGCACAACCAGAGCAGTGTAGACAGAAGGATACGAACTATGGAAGAATGTTTAAGAAATTGGTATATCAATACGAACTCGGGGCATTTATACTCTAATTTCTTGTATTGAATCTAGATCGGGAAGGCGAGCGGTAAACTGAAGAAGTTTATCATAGAACCCTTCCTAGCCCACCAGCAGTCGGAAGAGGCGTACGTCTGTATCTACTCCCAGAGGGACAAGGACGTGATCCTGTTCCACCATGAGGGTGGAGTTGATATTGGAGACGTGGATAGCAAGGCAAGCAGGCTGGAGGTTCAGGTGGAGGAGACGATGCAGGTATCCTTGGAGTCCATCAAAACTACGCTTCTCACACAGTTCACAGGGGACAAGAATCTAGTCGGAAAGTAAGTTTTTCCTAATTAGAAATTAGTTTTATTCATGCCAGTAGATTTTGATGCTTATGAATTAATTTATATAAATGAAAAGAATTTCTTTTAACTAGTTTTCGAACCTTATCTTCAGAAATTACTCTTGCAAAAACCTCCTGGATTTCGATGAAAACTATTTATTGTTTAATGATGCAAAGGAAAGATTTTTAAGTAAATTAGGAGATTAGTTTTAAACGTGACTCAGAATTTTGTAAATTCTAAGAAACAGATTACGTTTTTACACAGTTATGAATTTAAAATTGGCCCACTGTTTTAAATACAATTCTCTATAAATCATCCACTTTCTTCCATTCTCTAATCTCTACTAATTCTTCCATTTTCCATTATTACCATATGTTCTTAAATTCTCAATAATCCCGACCCAATTTAGGGGGGAGTGAATTTAAAAATTTCATCACACAATTACTGTGATAGTTAATTCCTATGTAATTTTTTTTTTCATAAGAATTGACTATCGCAGTACTTCTGTGATAAAATTTAAAAAATGATTTCTTGCAATTTTTTTTTTTTGGAAATTCACTCCCCCCTACAATCTATTTTTAAAAATCTCCATTAATCTTCTTCCATTCTTTTCAATCTCTATCTATTCTTTCATTATAAGCAGTACATTAATTTATTCTTGTGTTTAAGTTTATCCAGGGTCTATACAAGCAGTGCATTAATGTATTCTTTTGTTTAGGTTTATCCAGGGTCTATTCAAGCAGTACATTAATGTATTCTTGTGTTTAGGTTTATCCAGGGTCTATACAAGCAGTATGTTAATCTATATTTTACCTACCTGGAGATAAATCCTTTGGTTGTTACTGGAGGAAAGGTAGAAAAAAATGAAATTGTTTTTAATATTTAAATATTTATTTTGCCTGTCTACTAGAAACTGTCGTAATTTAAAGTGACGCCATTGAAAGAGGGGAATACGCATACCCAGTTAAATCATCGTCATTTTGTAGTTTGAAACTGTTTAATTCTGACAATTTTCTCCATGTTGTTTCTGAAGCAGGCAAACCATATTTGATGATAATTAACTTCCAATGAGAAAATGGTTTATATCTCGTGCATTCTTGATCAGCCGGATTTTTCAAGGCTTATATCCCGGATTTTGTTTGGATTTATATCCCGGATTTTGTCTGGATTTATATCCCGGATTTGTTTCAGGTTTATATCCTGGATTTGGCCGCAAAGCTTGACGCAACAGCAGATTTTGTTTGCCGAGCTAAGTGGGGAGAAATTGAATACCCGCCTCCATTTGGCAGGGATGCTTACCCAGAAGAAGCATACATCGCAGATATTGACGCTAAGACTGGAGCATCACTTAAACTTACAATTCTAAATGCAAAGTAAGTAGGAAATGGTTTCATTAATGAACAAGTGTTGCTAAACAGTTATACCATATGAAGACGTTTACTGCTGTTTAATGTTGATATTATGATTATGTATCGTCTTGACTTTTCAGGGGTCGGATCTGGACTATGGTTGCTGGAGGCGGAGCTAGTGTTATCTACTCCGACACTATCTGCGCTCTCGGAGGTTCAGACGAGCTCGCGAATTACGGAGAATATTCTGGAGCTCCGTCCGAGCAGCAAACCTATGATTATGCGAAGACTTTGCTCTCTTTAATGACAAGAGAAGCGCATCCTAATGGGAAGGTTCTTATCATCGGAGGAGGAATAGCTAACTTTACTAATGTTGCTGCAACCTTCAAGGGGATAACCTGCGCACTGCAGGAGTATCAAACCTTGATCAAATCTCAGAACATCAAGATATTTGTGAGAAGGGCAGGACCTAACTACCAGGAAGGACTCAGGTACAACTTCCAAGAACATTTAACATAAACAAAACTTTTTGAAGATGAGAAAAATTTCGATTTTTGAGAATCAATCGTCCTGTTTTTAGAGGAATGCGTGATGTTGGAAAGAATCTTGAAATTCCTCTGTTTGTGTTCGGTCCTGAGACCCATATGACTGCTATAGTTGGGATGGCTCTTGAGAAGAGAAATGTTCCCAATGAAGTTGAACCTGCTGAATCTGCCACGGCAAACTTCCTGCTTCCAGGATCGGTAAATCTCTTTTGTTCGCTATTCAGTCAATACTTCTATAAAAATGCCATTAAAGGTTTGAAGATTTAAACTTGTATCTAAGCAAGAATTATTAAGATCTTTGGTTTTTCATTCTTAAATTATTGAATTTTTTTGGGGTATTGCTGTCACTCAGACATCGATTTTCAGATAAGTGCTTAAATGTTAAAAGGCAGTAATTCGTGATTTTCAAATTATGGTGACCCTACAAAATGAGAACAGTCTTTAATTATATATTAATAAAATCATAGATTCTCGTTAATTAGTAAATCAAATTAAAGTTTTGCCATTTTTTTAATGATAATTTTATAACCAGGTGAGCGATGGTCCCCAGGAAGCTAGTACAAAGGCAGAACCAGCAGAGATTACTCCAACCTCTGCTGAATCTGTATCTGCTGGTCAACTCTTCTCTAACGGAACTCGTGCAATTATCTGGGGTCTTCAGACCAGAGCAGTCCAGGGAATGCTTGACTTCGACTACGTGTGTCGTCGACCAGAGCCTAGCGTAGCTGCCATGGTTTATCCTATGGTTGGAGGAGACTCTAAGCAGAACTTCTACTGGGGTCACAAGGAGATCCTGATCCCTATTTACAAATCCATGGCTGATGCCATGGCGAACCATCCTGATGTTGATGTGATGGTAAGTTTTTTTGTATTGAAAAAAATCAATTAAATAATAAGTTCCATTATTTCAGGTTAATTTTGCAAGTTTGCGATCAGCGTATGACAGCACAATCGAGTGCATGGAGTTCCCTCAGATTAAAACGATTGCCATCATTGCCGAGGGAATCCCTGAGAATCTTACCAGAAAGCTGATAAAAACTGCCGAGGCAAAGAATGTGACGGTGATAGGACCTGCCACTGTTGGAGGAGTGAAACCTGGATGTTTTAAGATCGGAAATACTGGAGGAATGATGGACAATATTCTCCACAGCAAGCTCTACAGACCTGGTAGTGTAGCTTATGTCTCTAGGTCCGGAGGAATGTCGAATGAACTGAACAACATTATTTCTCACCAAACCAACGGAGTGTTCGAAGGCGTCGCCATAGGAGGGGATAGATATCCTTGCTCCACTTTCATGGATCATTTACTTCGGTATGAAGCTAACCCTGACGTAAAGATGCTTGTTTTACTGGGAGAGGTTGGTGGAACCGAAGAGTACAAGGTTTGCGAAGCAATCAAATCAGGGAAACTGAAGAAGCCCATCGTCTCCTGGTGTATTGGTACCTGCGCCGATATGTTCTCTACTGATGTACAGTTCGGACACGCTGGAGCTAGTGCTGGGGCCGATGAGGAGACTGCAACTTCTAAGAATGCAGCGCTGAAATCTGCTGGAGCTTTTGTTCCATCCTCCTTCGACGAACTGGGGGAAGAGATTCATCGTGTTTACACCGAGCTCGTTAAATCTGGTGTCATCGTTCCAAAACCGGAGATTCCACCTCCACCTGTTCCCATGGATTACAACTGGGCAAGGGAACTGGGATTAATCAGAAAGCCGGCTAGTTTCATGACAAGTATTTGTGATGAGAGAGGTCAGGAACTCCTGTATGCCGGTATTCCGATCACGGAGGTATTCCGTCAAGACATGGGGATCGGAGGAGTTCTTTCCCTTCTCTGGTTTCAGAGAAGGCTTCCACCCTATGCCTGCAAGTTTCTTGAGATGTGTTTGATGATCACGGCGGATCATGGTCCAGCAGTATCTGGAGCTCATAATACCATTGTATGCGCAAGAGCTGGGAAGGATTTGGTCTCTTCTCTTGTCTCCGGACTACTAACTATTGTAAGTATGCCCGGTGCTCACTCCAACGGCGATTTTGGTCTTCTCAAATGGGGGGGGGGATTTGATATATATTACTTACGTTCATCGGATTATGGTGAATTCTTAAACTTCTACTTAAAAAAGTTCTGATTAATTTATCGTACTTTTTATCACTAGAAATTTTTACCCCCAAAATTTCGTATTTATGTAATTTTATGGCGCAAATAAAAACTTTGCCAGAAATAAATCTCAATTTGTTTAATGTTATATATTTTACAAATATAATTGTAAATATATTTTAGGGAGATAGATTTGGAGGAGCGCTAGACGGTGCCGCCAACATGTTCACAGAGGCATTCGACTCTAATCTAATCCCCATGGAGTTCGTGAACAAAACTAGGAAGGAAGGACGTCTCATCATGGGTATTGGCCACAGAGTCAAATCCATCAACAATCCGGACAAGAGGGTGACCTTAGTTAAGGAGTTCTCTAAGGAGAACTTCCCGAAGACCACCCTGTTGGACTACGCCCTGGAGGTTGAGAAGATTACTACGAGTAAGAAACCTAATCTTATTCTCAACGTTGACGGTTGTATTGCTGTGTGCTTTGTAGATCTACTGAGACACAGGTGAACAATTATTTAAGATATTTCGAAAAAATAAACTTGTATTTTACAACCGTTTGTTTCAGTGGATGTTTCACCAAGGATGAAGCTGAAACTTACATAAAGACAGGTTCTCTGAATGGAATGTTCGTACTGGGACGAAGCATCGGATTCATTGGTAACATTTAGTTTCATCCCCTTTAAGTAACATTCTGGTATGGCTAATCGTTGAACAGTTACATTCTTTCTACTTTAGGCTCAAAACCTAATACATTTTAATCTTTAAAAAGTAACATTTCCTGTCTCGATTTATCTTAAAACAGTATCTTTATGCGAGTCAGAGCCTATTTTACAGTAACATTCTTTCCATGTTTATTTTCAAAAACTTAAACAGACTGTCTCAATTGTATCTTTAAACAATAAAACAGACTGTCTCAATTGTGTCTTTAAACAATAAAACAGACTGTCTCAATTGTGTCTTTAAACAATAAAACAGACTGTCTCAATTGTGTCTTTTAACAATAAAACAGACTGTCTCAATTGTGTCTTTTAACAATAAAACAGACTGTCTCAATTGTGTCTTTAAACAATAAAACAGACTGTCTCAATTGTATCTTCAAACAATATAACGTTCTGTTAGTTGTTTTCTTAAACAGTAGCATTCTGTCTAGCTGTATCCCTAAACAAAAACATTCTGTGTAGTTGTATCCTTAAACACGAACATTTTGTCTAGTTGTATCCTCAAACACAAACATTCTGTCTAGTTGTTTCCTCAAACACAAACATTCTGTCTAGTTGTTTCCTTAAACACTAACATCTTGTCTAGTTGTATCCTTAAACACAAACATTCTGTCTAGTTGTATCCTTAAACACAAACATTCTGTCGTGTTGTATCCTCAAACACAAACATTCTTTCTAGTTTTATCCTTAAACACAGACATTCTGTCTAGCTGTATCCTTAAGCAAAAACATTCTGTCTAGTTGTATCCTTAAGCAAAAACATTCTGTCTAGTTGTATCCTTAAACAAACATTCTGTCTTGTTGTATCCTCTAAACACAAATATTCTGTCTAATTGTATCCTTAAACACAAACATTCTGTCTAGCTGTATCCTTAAACACAAACATCCTGTCTAGCTGTATCCTTAAACACAAAAATTCTGTCTAGTTGTATCCTTAAACACAAACATTCTTTCTAGTTTTATCCTTAAACACAGACATTCTGTCTAGCTGTATCCTTAAGCAAAAACATTATGTCTAGTTGTATCCTTAAACAAATATTCTGTCTTGTTGTATTCTCAAACACAAATATTCTGTCTAGTTGTATCCTTAAACACAAACATTCTGTCGTGTTGTATCCTTAAGCACAAACATTCTGCCTTGCTGTATCCTTAAACACAAACATTCTGTCTAGTTGAATCCTTAAATACAAACATTCTGACTAGCTCTATCCAAAACAAAAATATTCTGTCTAGTTGTATCCTTAAACACAAACATTCTGTCTAGCAGTATCCGACCTTAAAATCCGCCAACATTTAAAAAGATTTTAAATGCCCGACTTTTAGAGCTACAGTTAAAAGCTTGAAGAATTAGAAATACTTTTTTTATAGGACACTTCCTGGATCAGAAGAGACTAAAACAAGGTCTGTATAGACATCCTTGGGATGATATCAGCTACGTTCTGCCAGAGATCAACCAGTAGACGATCTAATCTTAATGTTAGAGGTTTAAATTCAAACCTGGAGGAATTCCCCCAATCCTTGAAACGATCTTATAATTGCGGATTTTCAATTCAAGCCTAATGTTTGGTCGAGTTAACATTAACGTTAAACCGTCCATGTCTACTCTGGAATATGTAGCATATATTTGTTAGTATTGTCATGCGCATGCGCTTTAACACTTAATGTGTAGATCTTATGTATTATTTATTGCATTCCATTATATTTATAAAAGATTTTATTTAATAAACAAAACTAAATTTTATCAATTTTGATGATTGCAATATACGTATAGGCAGAAGTCTCATTCTTAGTTGGTAATTGTGTGTAAGATATATATGAATAAAACTTTTCAACATGTCATAATGGCATTTAAAGAAGATTATGAACAAGCTTTTAATCATTATCAGATCATATGCATAATCAATAACTGCAAGCTACAGGGTGTCCCAATAAACATGGGAATTNCAGATCATATGCATAATCAATAACTGCAAGCTACAGGGTGTCCCGATAAACATGGGAATTCAGTGACGAATTCAATGTCGTCTTTAAGATGATTCTTTGATTTAGTAAAGTGATACCTACTGAGAAAGTTGTAATCTCTCAGAGTTTCGTCTGCTTATTTGTTCACATTTTGTTTATGTTTTTCATGCATACGGTTGTATAAAATTGCAGTATACAAACAGAGTAAGCTTGTCCGTCTTCACTGTTCATCGTGCAGAGACGTTAAAGACACAGTTTTACAGCCATTTACCGTTTTCATAAAATAAACTCTAGCAGAAATAATAATATTATGGCTCTTGAAATCAGGTATTAATTACAATGCCAGATCATATGAAAGACGATATCGAATTCGTCACTGAATTCTCATGTTTATTGGGTCAGTTCTTGGCACACCCAGTATGTATAAAAATGTGAAAATATCGTCTTTGTATTCAATGATGCCGAAATCAACGCAAATTTCAATTTATTCGTAGATGAGAAAATTCTAATAAGAAAAACTTAAGAATATAATTCCTATTAAACAAATGTTACATGCAATGACAGAGAAGGTCACCTTCAAAATTATTGAAAATAATTTTTTAAAACTCGCTCTCTTAAATTTATTTGAGAATGATTTGCGGCATAAATGCAAATCAAACTGTTTGCTGCCGTCGGCTCAATTAATTGAATCAAATATGAAGCGTTAAAGTAAAACTTTACATTGTAATAAATGTAAAATGCCTACAATTTCAGAATTTAAGATACCAGTAATAAGGTGTATATAGAAATAAACTATTATGAATCAACCAATCAATACAATTTCGATATTGAATGTGAATTATTTGCAGGAAAAATGTCAGAATCCTGGTATCCTGTAGGAGCCAGTGGCGTTGATTACGGGTATAATTACAGTCAAGAAACTGCTCCCAGTTACACCACATACTCCGAACCTGTAAGTTTTTTGACGTTTTTTGACGCATCTCCCGCCCATACAATGTCCAATTTTGAACATGTATCTATAAATGTATTACATTGGCATAGTTTTGTTTGTTGCCATAGCGCCAGTCCCCTAGCCGCAGTGCATGGCCCAGAATTTGGGGTCCGTCCTAGAATACGATTTTTGGATCCCCCCTCCCCCCTCCTCTCAATTTTATACATGATTTTTAATCGTTATTCAGGTAACTTAAATAAAGTCATTTTGTATTATTTTAGGGTTAGGTTAGGTTAATACAATCTCTGGGCC